AAACATTCAATCAGAACAGAATTAAGAAATAAGATTTTTTTTAAATGTGGAGAGGCTTAGGAATATGTGGGACAACTTTAAACATTCCAACATCCAAATCATAAGGGTGCCAGGAGAAGAGGAACAGCAAGAAATGGAAAACTTATCTGAAAAAATAATGGAGAACTTCCTCAATTCAGCAATGGAAATAGACTTCCAGGAAGTCCAGGAAGCTCAGAGAGTCCCAAAGAAGCTGGACCCAAGGAAGCACATGTCCAGGCACATCCTAATTACATTACCCAAGATTAAAGATAAGGAGAGGATCTTAAAAGCACCAAGAGAAAAGGAGACCGTTACCTACAAAGGAGTTTCCATAGACTTAGCTGATTTCTCAAAAGAAACCTTACAGGCAAGAAGGGACTGGAAAGAAGTATTCCAAGTCATGATAGGCAAGGACCTACATCCAAGATTACTCTACCCAGAGAAGCTTTCATTTAGAATGGAAGAGCAGATTAAGTGCTTCCCAGATAATGTAAAGTTAAGGGAGTTCATCATCAACAAGCCCTTATTATATGAAATGTTACAGGAACTTATCCAAGAAAAAGAAGATGATCAAAATGATGAACAGTAAAATGACAAAAAAAAAACTCACAGCTATCAACAACTGAACCTAAAAAGAAACGATAACCAACTAAGCAAACAAGGAATGGAATCACAGAAATGGAGATCAAATGGAGGTCATGTGGAGATCACATGGAGGGTTAGCAGTGGTGAGGGGGAGGAAGGGGATTGGGGGAAAATGTACAGGGAATAAGAAGAATAAATGATAGGTACAAAATAGACAGGGGGAGGGTTAAGAATAGTATAGGAAATGCAGAGGCCAAAGAACTTACGGGTACAACCCATGCACATGAACTAAGGCCAGGGAATGCTGGTGAGGGTGCCAGGTGAAGGAGAATAGAGGGAGAAAAAAAATGTGACGACCCTAACAGCATAATCATAAAATATATTTATAAGAAATAAATAAAATAAGAACTTAGCATTTTGCCTTTCAAAAAAATTTATTTGAGTGTTGTCAGTTCTGTCTGGAATAACACCATGGGACCTCTCTGGCATCTCCCTAAACCATGAATTGCTCCTGGTAGATCCTCCTCTTGATATGAATGATTAGTAATGTTTTTTACTAATAGACTTTGTTAGCCTCTATGTAAGCACTTTAGAGGCATGCACTCATTTAAGCTTCACAAAAAAACTGTATGAAATAACTACCATTTGTAGCAGTGAAAGCTGAGGTTTAGAAAAGGTGAGTAATTTGCCAAAGGGTCAGTCGTTGGAAGTTAAGAGGCAAAGCTAAGAATATCTGAGTCAATAACGCACTATATTTGCTCCATACATATATGGACCATATCTTTAAAAAACAAGTTTCAACAGTAGCTAGCTGACCATCAGAGAATCTTTTTAGGTTAATGATAAGATCACAAATTGAAAACAGATTTTGAAGTCAAGAGAAGTAGGAAATGACTTGATAGGTAATGCCCATGAGGTCAAGGATCTGATCCAATTAGTTTGGCTCAGTTCCACCTGGACTGGATCACATTTTGAGTTCATCACACTTATTTGCTGACTCAAAAGACAAATCACTGAGCCCCTACTGCTTTTCCAGCCACAGCTAAATAACAGCCCATCTTAAGGCATATCACTTTCATTCGTAATCCAGATTTTTCCTTTCTGTTCCCCAACATGACTCTTTGGTATCAGAGTGAGCCCTTGTCAATGGAAGTCAGACCATGGATGGCCATTCTGCTTAAGCCCTCCCATGACTCAGGCTCACTCAGGGAACTGGTCTAACTCCCAACAGTGGCTGACATTGCTTTACATGATGTGCCCACTACATCAGAGAAAAGAGACTAAGAGGTTTATTGCTAGGCAGTGGCTTAGTTGATTGTGGGGTAGGCCATAAGGAAGGCAGGCTGTAGCTGAAGCTGACACTGCAGCCAATGGGAGACTTTCTTCTGGGAAAGGAACACTGCTCTTAAGGCCTTTCAACTGATTGAATCAGTCCCATCCAGATTACCTAGGATGATCTCATTGACTGAAAGTCAAATGATCATCTCATTGACTAAATACACATCACAGCTATACAGAGATTAGTGTTTGATTGAATGTCAGGGGATTGATTATAGCCTGGCCAGGTCGACACATGAAACCATCACATCCCCTTACCTCTTTCACCTTAGGTTCTACTATTTCACCTCCTCCTCTCTCTGTTTACCTATTATTTTTGTCCCCAGTTGAACAGAGACTCCAGAGACTGTTTTGTTCCCTCCTGGCCTAGAATGATACCTGGGCAGCTGCTCAATAAATATTAATTAAATGAATGAGCAACCTTTCATGTGATACTTAAGTGTCTGCTCTAATATCTAGTCTCTTTTTCTTTTTTTTAAAAGATTGTATTTATTTATTTTAGAGAGAAGGGAAAAGAAGGAGAAAGAAAGGGAGAGAAACATCAATCCATTGCCTCTTGTACACATCCCAACCAAGAACCAAACCCACAACATAGGCATGTACCCTGATCGGGAATTGAACACCAGAAGCCAATAGCGGGAGATATAGCTGATGTACTCAAAACATCCAAATTAATAAAATTATTGGTGATGATGAAAAATGTGTCTTTTATTTTATGGAAAAAACAAATGAAAATTTTGGTCAACCCAGTAGAAAGGAACAATTCTCTCACTTCCCTGGTCTGCAAATTCATTCCTTTCATGTCATGTTTGAATGCTGGCTGTATCATGCAACCCCTTTTTAAAACATACTGAACCCCCTGGGCCCCAGAAGCCACAGACCCGGAATTCCCCCTCTAAATCCGTCACCTCATCACCAGACAAGATGACTTAAGTGGGTCAGGTGTGGGGGCACAGTCCCAGATAAGAGCACACTGCCTTTGAGTAGCAGGACTTCCGGTACCTCCAACCACTACAGCAAACTTACCAAAGCAGAAAGAATGACTCTCCCAGCCAAGCTGGAGACCTCTCAGAGGAGATGGGGTTGAAGGATGAAGAGGGGGAGGGCATTCATTTAATGGTGGATAAACATCAGGTGTACTGATCCCGGCTTGGAAAAGAGCAGCTGGAGCAGGTCTGGGAAGGAAAGTGTGTAGGAGAGGAGAGGAACCCCCAGGAAAAGAGGTGGGCAACCCTGTTTAAGGTCAAATTGGAAAAGAACTTATAAAGCAAGCTAAGGACTGGTCTCTTTCCTACAAATGTCAAAGGACGTTTGTAAGCATGCTGATTCAATGAAAAAATGTGATGGTCTTAGTTGTAGTTGAGTTCCACTATACAATGTGTCTGATAGAATATGGGAGGGACATATTCGGAGAATCATGCTTGGTTCGGTCACCACACTCAGGGCATTAGAGCTGGGAATCAGCAGAGGGGTTAGACTGCTCATGGAAATCTGGAATGGAATTGCTAGAAGATAGGTAATAAGGGCTGGACAGGGTCAGGGACAAGGGAGGGGAAGCTGCAGTGAGAGAGATTTGGTCCAACGATCAGACTGTCTGGAGGTAAAGGGATGAATTCATTGGGTCCTGGGGCTCCGGAGTCTGGGACTATTGAAAAAGAGACTAGATAGCCCTAACTAGTGTGGCTCAGTTGGTTGGGTGTCATCCTGCAAAGTGAAAGGTTGCCTGTTCTTTGCTGCAAAACAGCAAAGTGAAAGGTTCTTTGCTGCAAAACAGCAAAGAATTGTGCCGAAATGTTAATAGTACCAAGCAACTTCTAAAACCACTTTTGGTACATTTGATCAGTCGCGGCACCTTCTCCAAACATTATATAAATCTTTTTCTTGCATTTCAGTTGCGGTTTTACCTTTCTTGAAATAATAAAGCATCATACACTGAAAATGTTGTGCACCTTCTTCCATCTTCAATATTAAAATGGCTGCACAAAAATTCACCAATCTTGATGTTTTTTAATGCACACTAATATGACAGCTGCCACAGTACAACCTAAAAAAAGTTTCTATTGAAGTTAAAGACAAGTAAGCACTCACTTCTAGAACCATCATACATAAAAAAACAATGCTTTTTGGCCAATCCAGTACTTCCATCCAGGCATCCACCTTGAGGATTGCCACCTGACCAGAAGCAGGACTTAAGTCCCAGGTTCCTAAACTTAATCACGCATTGAAATCACCTGCGAAGCTCCCACTCCCAACTGCTTGTCTCTAGCTCTGAAGCGCTGGGGTCCTCGAACTCAGGTAACCTGGCCCGGCTCCTAGAGATCCGCCACCACAGTCTGCAGTAGGGTTTGCATAAGGCCAGAGGTGCTGACACCGCGGTTTTCCCTGCGAGTACCTCACTGCCCGGCTCTGCGTGAGACCGGGACACAGGCTCCCTGCTAAGGGGCCCATCGTGGAGTCCGCAGTCCAGGTGAGGCAGGAAGGGGATGTTGCAGCGGTCCCCGAGCTCCCCGTGAGTCCAGACTCCTGCCTGGGGAGTCGAGGCCTCCCTGCCAGGGTCTAGATGCGGGTCCCTTCCAGACCCGCCTCTCAGCGTAGAGTCACGCACGGGTTCTGAGGATCCGGTTACCGGCTTTCCACCCTTCTGCTCAGCCTCGTCTAAACCATACGCTGTTCTCTGAGCCAGAGGATCCTCCTGTCACACGAGTTAACATCAAGGGCACACCGAGCGCGCCGTTACCTCTACTGAACCTAGATTATTTTGTCTACTCGATAATCCAATGAAGTAGACATTTTTAAATGTTTTAAAATTATCATGGAAAGTGAGTTTTTCTTTTGTTTCCCAGTTCTGTGAATTTTTAACCCCCGACCCAGTCACAATACAGAACTGTTCCATCAAAAACTCCCTCCTGCTGGCCTTTTATCACCACAGCCTCCTCCACTCTTGTCCCTCCACTCCCACCCCCAAACCCTGAGCTATCACTATAGTTTTATCTTTTCAAGAAAGTCATATAAATGAGGAACTACAGTAAGTAACTTTTTAAGATTGTCTTCTTTCACCCAGTATAATACTTTTTAGATTCATCCAAGTTGTTGTGTCCATAGCTCATTCCATTTTATTGCTAAGTAATTCCATTGTACTATGTACCACAATTTGGTGATTCACTTACCACTTAGACAACTGACTTGTGTCCAGTTTCTGTAGATTATAGATAAAGCTACTATAAGCCCTGACCAGTGTAGCTCAGTTGGTTGAGCGTCATCCTGCAAAGCAAAAGGTTGCCAGTTCAGTCCCTGGTCAGGGCATGTGCCTGGGTTGCAGGTTAGGGCATGTGTGAGAGGCAACTGTTAAGTGTTTCTCTCCATCTTTTTCCCTTTATCTAAGAATATATAAATAAAACCTGCTAAAAAAATTTAAACCTGCTATATCAATGTACTGGTTTTGTGTGACTGTAACTTTCATTTCCCTAGTGTTGATACCTATTGAATGTGCATGTTCAACTTTGTAATAAACTGCCAAACTGTTTTTCCAGAGTGGCTATGCTATTTTAACTTCCCACCAACAATGCTCTCTTGGATATGACTCTGTGATGGTTAATTTTATGTGTCAACTCGGCTGGGCTAAGGGATGCCTAGATAGCTGGTAAGATATTACTTCTGGGTGTGTTTGTGAGGGTGTTTCTGGAAGAGATTAGCATTCAAAGAGGTAGACTCAGTAAAGAAAATCACCCTCACCAAAGTAGTTGGGCATCATCATATTCTTTGAGGACCCCAATCGAAAAAGTGGAGAAAAGGCAATTCTCTCTCTCCTTTAGCTAGTTCATACATCTCCTCTTGCTCTGACATCTGTCCTCAGTTCTCAGGCTCTGGCTCCTGGGTTTCTTAGTATGGGTTTTGGACTGAATCACACTAATCATTTTCCTGATTCTCCAGCTTGCAGGTGGCATATCCTGGCACAGCTCAGCCTCCAAAATTGCATGAGCCAATTCCCATAACAAATCTCTAGAGCCCCGGCCAGTGTGGCTCACTTGGTTGGAGTGTCGTGCAGTGAGCCAAAAGGTTGCGGGTTCAATTCCCAGTCAGAGCAGATGCCTGGGTTGCAAGTTCAGTCTCCAGTGGGGGCTCATGCAAAAGGCAACCAATTGATGTTTCTCTTTCACATCAATGTTTTTCTCCCTCTTTCTCTCCCTCTATTCCCTTCTCTCTGAAAACAATAAACATGTCCTTGGGTGAAGATTTTTTTTTAAAAACCTCTATAACTGTATCTATCTATCTATCTCCTATTGTTTCTGTTTTTTTCTGGAGAACTCGAATACAAACACCAAAAGGAAAATAGATAAGCTTGACATCATAAAAATAAAAAACTTTTGTGCTTCAAGTGACATCATCATAAAGTGAAAGGACAACCCATAGATACTAGAACATTTTTGTAAATCATGTACAATAAGGCACCTATATCTAGAACATATAACTCCTTTAAAAAAATAACCCATTAAAAGATGGGCAAAGGATTTAATAGATGTTTCTTCAAAAAAGACATACAAATGAACAATAAGCACATGGAAAGATACTCAACATAATTAGCCATCAGGGAAAGGCAAACCAAAACTACAAGGACACTGCTTCAAACCCACTAGGATGACTATACATTTATAAAAAAAAAAGTGTTGAGAATGTAGAGAAATCAGAAGCCTATATACTGCTGATGAGAATGTAAAATGGAGCAATCTCTTTGGAACATAGCCTGGCCATTTCCTCAAAAGGTTACAGCATTTAACCTTGAAATTTCTCTTCTAATTATATACCCAAGAGACATGAAAACATATCAACATGAAAACTTTTATACAAATATTCATAGCATCTTATTCACAATAGCTAAAAAGCAGAAACAACCCAAATGTCCATCAGTGGATGAAAGAAGAAACCAAGTGTGATATATGTATATAATGGAATGTTATTCAGCCATAAAAAGGGATGAATTACAGATTCACATTACTACATACACAGCTGAAATGATATCATTATACTAAGTGAAAGAAGCCAGACACCAGACACAAAAGAAACATACTGCATTATTATGATTCCATTTATGTGAAATGTCCAGAATATCCAAATCCAAAGAGACAAAAAGGAAACTGGTACCTGCCAAGGCCCGGGGGAGTTGGGGGAAAACACTCACTGCTAAAGGTTTTTTTTTAGGGTTTTAAAGGTTTTTTTTTTTTAAGGCACATCATAATTAAGTTACTCAAGATTAAAGATAAGGAGAGGATCTTAAAAGCAGCAAGAAAAAAGGAGACAGTCACCTACAAAGGACTTCCCATCAGACTGTCAGCTGATTTCTCCAAAGAGACCTTGCAGGCAAGAAGGGGCTGGAAAGCAGTATTCCAAGTCATGAAAGGCACAGACCTACATCCAAGATTGCTCTATCCAGCAAAGCTTTCATTTAGAATGGAAGGGCAGATAAAGTGCTTCCCAGATAAGGTCAAGGTAAAGGAGTTCACCATCACCAAGCCCTTATTATAAGAAATGTTAAAGGGACTTATCTAGGAAAAATAAGATGATTAAAAATATGAACAGTAGCCCTGGCTGATGTGGTTCAGTGGTTAGGCATCAGCCTTTGAACCAAAGGGTCACGGGTTTGATCCCAGGTCAGGGCACATGCCTGGGTTGTAAGAGACAACTGGCCCACGTTTCTTTCCCTCTCTTTCTCCTTCCCTTCACCTCTCTCTAAAAGTAGATAAAATCTTTTTAAACATATAAACTATAAAATGATAACAAACTCACAATTATTAACAACTGAACTTAAAAACAAAAACAAATTAAGCAAACTAGAACAGGAACAGAATCACAGAAATGGTGATCACACAGAGGGTTACCAGTGGGGAGGGGAGGAAAAGGGGTTGAAAGGTACAGGGAATAAGAAGCATAAATGGTACGTACAAAGTACACAGGGAGAGGTTAAGGACAGTATAGGAGATGGAGAAGCCAAAGAACTTACATGTATGTGCCATGGACATGAATTAATGGGAGTGGGGGATGCTGGTGAAAGGGGTGTGCAGTCTGGAGGGGAATAGAGGGGGGAGAAATGGGTCAACTGTAGTAGCATAACCAATAAAATATATTTTAAAAGACCACTGAATTGTACACTTTGAATGGGTGAATTGTATGAAGTATGAATTACATCTCAACAATATTGTTCATTATTTTTTAAAAACCACAAAGAAATTCAAGCAAACCAACAAATGCCTTGGGAGCATAAGGCACACAAAGCCTTGCTGGGGGGCCAGGGTTGGTGGAGGAGCAGAGGATTCATGCTGAGAACTGTGTATGTCCACATGTGCTGCTTCTCAGTGGGACAACTGCTCACCGGACTCAGATGTGGATTGACATGAAAAGATTCACACTAACAGTACCCTTGTATGTCATAACTGTAGATAAATTTTCTATTAGAATTTCAATTGAATTACAGATCAAGGATTTTATGAGAAAACCATAGTGGGGGAGTCAGATGTATAAATAAGTTAACAGACTCGGGGGAGGGGAGTCACGGAATAAGTGCAATCATGAAAAGTATGTACAAGATACAGAGGCAGCCTAGAGGAAATGGTGAACTCATTGGGGGTGGAAGGTGGCAAACACAATGCCCTGGAAAGGCTCCACATTAAAGGTGAAGCTTATGATCAGGTTGTCAAAGATAAATAGGAGTGTGTTAAGTGAACAAAGTGCAGGGGGGCATTCAGGAAGAAGAAATAACAGGTGTAAAGGCACAGAGGCATTAAACAGTATTTGTGCTCGTCACTGTAGTTCTGCATCACTCCAGTGTAAAATACGTGGGAGGGGAGGAGGATGGAAGTTGGGATGAGAAGGGTACTAGGAGGTAGGATCAAAGTAGGCAGGGCTAGAAAGCGAAAAGCCCTGTGTCTGACAAAGAATTTGACCTAGAGGATGAAAAGGGACCACTGAATGGTTTTGATGCGGTCATCCAATTACATCTTAGAGAGATAACTCATGAACAAGTACAAAGAATGGATCAGATGCCCTGGCTGGTGTAGCTCAGTGGATTGAGTGAGGGCCTGTGAACCAAAGGATCACGGTTCGATTCCCAGTCAGGGCACATGCCTGGGTTGCAGGCCAGGTCCCCAGTACTGGGAGCTCAAGAGGCAACCACATTTGATGTTTCTCTCCCTCTCTTTCTCCTTCTCTTCCCCTCTGTCTAAAAATAAATAAATAAAATCTTAAAAAAAAAAAAAAAAAAGAATGGATTGGAGCCCTGGCAGGTGTGTCTCAGTTGGTTGGAGTGTTGTCCCATAAACCAAAAGGTGGAAAGGTGGTGGGTTCACATGCCTAGGTTGCGGGTTCAGTCCTGGTCAAGGCACATCTGAGTGGAAACCAATAGCTGTTTCTCTCTCACATTGATTCCCCCCCATTCCCTTCTCCTCTTTCTAAAATCAATAAGCATGTCCCTGAGTGAAGGGGTTTTTTTTTAAGTATGGACTGGAGAAGACTTTGGAAGAAAAAAGGATGGTGCCAAAATCCTGGGAGGAGTTCAGGATGACCCAGGCCACTGCACGAGTCACAGAAATGGGCAAGACAGGATGGGCTGGGAAGTTGACAGACAAGCTGTACAAGTGAGAAGACAGAGAAACAATGCATCCCGAACAATTCCCTGGTTTCCGACTTGGCTGATTGGGAAGTTGATGATGTCAGCAACGGAAGTGGAGAATACACAAGGAAGTATATTCCTGTGGAGAAAGATAAGGCTCCTGTGTCATTCCTGGAGAAACCATTCTCTGGCCCTCTCTCTTTGCGTGTAGAAAATAGTCCATATAAGTTTTGATTCATTTCAGTCTTCAGTTCTTCATTACTGACATTTAAAATAATGCACGTAAGCTTTCATTTAATTTTTAAAGAAGAAAAAGTTTTAACTTTATAGACAAGCTAAGAGAACAAGAAAATATTTCAGGGAGCTTTCAAAACCAATCTTTTAAGTAAAAAGAAAGAATTTGTTAAGATGTTTCTCTTGACCACCACTGTGGTTTGCACTTCTGTCAGCTGAAATGTTCAGACAAAACCAGGCCTTTCCCTTACTTGGAAACTTATCAAACAATATCATTTTTCAGAATTATTTAAGTTGAATTTCAAAGAACAGGTATAACTTGGGGTGAGTGGCAGTAGCTAGGAATGAAATTACCTTTTTTAAAAGATTTTATTTATTTATTTTTAGAGAGAGGGAAGGGAGGGAGAGAGAGAAACATCGAGGCAAGAGAGAAATATGATGGGTTGCCTCCCACAGGTGTCCTGACTGATTGGAGACTGAACCCACAACCTAGGCCTGTGCTCTCAGCAGAATCAAACTGGCGACCTTTTGTTTCACAGGCAGCCTCCTGACCAATGGAGCCACATTGGTTAGGGCTGACATTGTTTTTGCTAACATGACTGATAGCGTCCTTGGAAACCTTGCCCCATCCCTCTCATTGCACAGATAAGGCAAAGCCAAAAGCTAACAGTAGAAGGCAGAAGCTTACAAGGAGGCAGAATTCGGCTCAACTTAACTTCCAGCAATCAGAATGCTCAACAGTGTAACAGCTGCTTCTGTGTGGTGCAACAATGAGCAGCTCTTCCCCTGAAGATGCTACAATAGAGAACGGTTATCTATTGGGGCCACTGTTGAAAGTTTCTGCACTAAGAGGGAGGTTGAAAATGGTTTCTCAGGTCCTTTTGGACTGATTTTTATTGATTGGGTGTGAGAAGCTGGAATAAGGTATGAGTATACTGTAAAGGAACAAAATCATGGGCATGAATGTTGGGCGTGAGTTGGGCCTGGTTATCTTCTCTTATTTGATGTGACAAAGATTCTTGGCTTGACCAAATCTTACTTGGGCTTCTGAACCTTCTCCTAGGTCCATCTGTGCACTTCCTTGTAAAATCTAGTTTTAGCAAGAACCCTGTTAAACCACTTAAGCATGAGGCCTCCGTCTTCTACCATCACTCTGTAGCAATGTCTAATCACCCTTGCCTGTCCTTAGCAAAAGTCCTGTTAGGTCAGTTTAACCCAAACCCCTCTTACTCCTGAATGTTTCCTCTTAGAAAATTTTCATCCACTGACCCACACCCTGCTCCTTGGCTATAAATTCCCACTTGGTCATGCTGAATTCGGGATTGGGCCCAGTTCTTACTGAGGTCTCTTTTCACTTACTGCAATTTGTTCCAAATAAAGTCTGCTTTTACTGCTGTAATGACTGCCAGCTCTGGTTTGTCACACATCTGGTTTTTAGATGTGTGAAGAGGAGCACTAAGACATAAGACAATACAGAGATATGAAAGCCAGCCCAAGGAAAGCCTTGAATACATACAGCTAAGGAGTTTGAATTTTATTCTATGAAGAAAGAAGCCACTGAAACTTCTGATAAAGAAGTGACAAGATGGGTATACTGCTTTGGGGAGAGAGTGATTTATGTGAGAAAGTAAAGGTATCAATCCAGGCCCTGGCCAAATAGCTTGGTTGGTTAGAATGTCATCCTGATAGGCCAAGATTATGGGTTTGATCCCTGGTCAGGATACATATAAGAATCAACCGATGAATGCATAAATAAGTGGAACAACAAATCGATAAAGAAATAAAAAATAAAGATATCAATTCATTAGGACAGTGATTTTCAATTGCTGTGCCACAAAATTTTTTAAAACATGCAATGCCTGACTATTTAGTCAGGGGCACTGACCTCTTTCCCCTTAGATTGTCAAATTAATTTTTTAAAAAATGATACCCTGGCTGGTGTGGCTCAGTGGATTGACAGCCAGCCTGGGAACCAAAGGGTCACTGGTTCAATTTGCAGCTAAGGCACAAACCTGGGTTTCGGGCCAGGTCCCCAATAGGGGGGTGCATGAGAAGCAATCACACACTGATCTTTCTCTCCCTCTTTCTCCCTCCCTTCCTCTCTCTCTAAAAATAAATAAAACCTTTAAAAAAGTCCAAAAAAATGATACCGTATTTTGGGGGACTATAAGATGCACCCCCACCCCACCACAATTTGGTAGGAATAATGGTTGTTAATGCTGCTGTTTTGTTTACATTTACATTGGTGAAATATATGTTGTGTTATTAAATATTTTACCACAGTATTTGCTTCAAAAATTTTTCCCCTATTTTCCTTCTCTAAAACCTAGGTACATCTCATGGTCTGAAAAATATGGTACCTATTTTTTGTCAGATCAGTAAAATATATATCTTTTGGTGTGCCACAGAATTTTAGTAATTAGTTTATTTGTGCCATTAGATGAAAAAGGTTGAAACTGCTTCATTAGGAGACTATCTAATCCAGGGGGGAGTATGAAAGATTTGAACTCTAGGGTTAACAGCAATGGAAATGAAGAGTAAGAACTATGGAGATTATAGAATCATAATTGACAAGATCATTGCCTATATGAGGTTCCCTTTACAGGTACCTTCTCATTTCACATCTAAGCCATGTAGCCTCTGGCTCAGCTTCTCACCAAGTGGACAAATCCTGATCTCACTGGCCTATCTCACCAGGCAAGTTCAATAGTGTCATCTGTAAAATGGAGTTATACTAACACCTACCTTACTGCAGGTTGTAGTGAGGACTAAATAATTTAATATATGAAAAACACTTGTAAAGGGGCCAGGCAGAGTATATGCTACTGTTATTACCATCACTTGGAAATCCCACCTCCTCCATAATCTCCACTTTGAAACTTTCCCCTCTAACCACATTCTCTTTTCATTCTGTTTCCTAAATCGGCCCAGGACTTGATGCTGGTTAGCTGTAGGAGGGTAAAAATAAATTAAAAATTAAAAACTCAGTTGTGACTCCGAGACATTTGCAGAAATTTTGAGGGGGCAGTTTATGGGAAAGGCATACCTAGTTTGAAACACATAATTTGAAACTTTTAATCCTCACCCAAGGACACGTTATTGCTTTTTTGGAGAGAAAGGGAGGGAAACATCGATTGCCTCTTGTATACACCTTGACGGGAACGGAACCAAATACATAACCCAGGCATATGCCCTGACCAGGAATTGAACCTGCAAACTTTCGGTTTATGGGATAACACTCCAACTGAGCCACACCAACCAGGGCCATTTGAAACTTTTAAAGATCCAAGTGTGTAAATGTCCTGCAGACTGGAGACACTAGAGCTTGGGAGAGATCGGTGCCACACATGCAAATGTAATACTTGCATAGATGGTGGTGGCCTTGGAAGTAACTAGATTCCAAGGATAATGGCAAAGACACAAACGGGTACTATGCACATTAAGGAATGCTCAGTTACAGACTGAGGAATCATGGTGGGGATATGAATAATCAGAATCAGGTGAATAAAAATGTTATGTTTCAAAGATCTTTTCAAAAACTTTTTTCATGTAATGGCCCATCTCAGGTCACACTGAGAAGCTGAGACTGACAGCCATGAAGTCTTATGTGCAGGTGGGGGAGGTGAAGTCTTCACCATCTAGGCAAAGGGGCTGACCCTTGCTGTTCAGTGGTCTTTCCCCAGAGCTTCACATTAAGTGGCCATACACAGGCCACCCCAAACTGTCCCAGCTCGAAGCTCTTATTACCACGTATTATCTAAAACGTAGCTCAAGTTTATCTTCTAGGAATTTTTCTTAACTGTTCCATTTTTTCCCCTTTTCAGTGTAGTTTAAGCTCTATCCTCAAAAATAATTTAATTTGATTTGGGGGTTAGAAATCTGCATTACTAACAAGCAGCCTAGTGACTCTAATATGGATAGTTCACAGTTTACACTCTGAGAAACAATTTGCAAGTATGTGCAGATGTCAGAGAAGAGCCTGAGTGATGAGTTTTCATTACAGCTTTAAAAAATTAAAAACACAATTAGGTGATCAGTGTGATCCAATTTTTTTCAGAGGCTAGAGCTCCAGACATATTCTCTTCTCCACTAGACTTTCATCTTTACCTTCTCCATGACTGTAACACCCTCCCACAAACAGCCAAACTAAGAAACCTAAATATGCCCATTGCTACTCAATATCCAAGTACACACTTGTCTGGAACCCCATACCCAGTAACACTTTTCTAGCTTTAGTTGTTGGTTTTAAGTATGATACCACACTGAGTAATATGCAGCACAAAAAACTCTACACGAGGGTGTAAAGGTGGGAGCAATTGTGTAAATCACTGAATAGTCTGGGGCAGTATCTAGAGGAATATGATGGGAGTCTTGAGGAAAAGAGGTGCCATGTTTGTGACTGAGATAAATGGTTGGTTGTAAAAAAAAAATTTCAAGATTAATTTTTAATGATCCATTTACAATCACTGGTGTTTCCTATTTAAACTAAATTTTACTCCTGCACAAAAACACACTCAATCTCTCCTTCTGAAAATCTATGCTGTTTAATAGTGCACTTCATTTATGCTACAGGATGAGCAAGATTGGGAAAACATAATCAAAGGTCATCCCTTCAAGCTGGGAAAATTCAGGAGCTCCATCCTAACCCAGGAGGAGCCCTACCACCAGGTTCTGGTCAGAGCCTTCCTTCTCTAGGCTTTGCAGTGTGAATTCATACTCTGCTGTTGAAGTCAGAGGTTGGGGCAGGAGAGGCTGGCTACTCAGGTCAGGTGTCACAGGTCATGGGTGACAGAGGGCAGAACAAGCTGGTTAAGTGAGCTCCTTAACAGCATCCTTAGTCATTAGGTTTGGATTAAATCACTCTTTTATCACAGGAGTGGTGAGGAGGAAGCAGAGGCAATTCTAAATGCTTTTGATCCACTTCCTTATGTTAGACTCACTGATTAGATGGATTTCCCAATTAGTCATATCACAACAGGGCATGACAAGGGGTTCTCCAATAAAAATGCCAGACAGCTGTCGGAAACTTGGTCTTGCTGTTTGTTCCAAGAGCCATAAAGGATAGTCACCATAGAAAAACATCTCTTGCCCCCCCCACCCCTTTTCCCCCAATCAAATAAATCCCTCAGCCTCAAATTTTATCAAAACTTAAAGCTGGATTAGGAACAAGGGCTTTCAAATACAGCCTCCTTTTCCCTTTCTTAGAAAGTAGCAGGACCCAAAACATTCTTGCCACGGCCTTCTACGCTGACTGTACTGACTCCCACTAGAGGAATCCTTAGAATTTTCCTACTGCACTTCCATCCCCACCTTAGTAAGAAAGGCTCGCTTGGTGTGAGAAATATTGTCTAGTGCAAAATCCCTTCCATAGTGAAGGTGATTGGTCCCAGAGCTTCCCAACAATTAATCTGCTGCTTGCCTCATAATTTTTCAAGGCTGGTACCATTCCCTGGGAAACTGACTAGGTTCCTAATCACTGTGCCAGGATGATTTGCCCAATAGACCCCATTCTCTAAAGTGAAATGTTTGCATCAGAAGGGACACATCCTAAGTTGCTCATACTTTTGTAGTAAGGCAGGAACTCTTCAGACTCAGAGGAAGTGAGAAAAATAGGTATGTGGCTCTCTTTCATGTAGACTCTCTGATATTTAATTCAGTAACTCTGAGAGAACTTTTACTCATTCCCATTATGTTCAAAGGCTTCTCTCCAGTGTGAATTCTCTGATGGCGAACAAGAGCTGAACTATACCTAAAGGCTTTCCCACACTCACTACATTCATAGGGATTCTCCCCTGTGTGGATTCTTTGATGCTGAATAAGGCCTGAACTATAAGTAAACTTCCCTCCACATTCCATACATTCATAGGGCTTCTCTCCAGTGTGGATTCTCTGGTGCTGATAGAGGTGTGAGCTCTGGCTGAAAGCCTTCCCACACTCATTACATTCATAGGGCTTCTCTCCAGTGTGGATTCTCTGGTGATGAATGAGGGTGGAGCTCCTACTGAAGGCCTTCCCACATTCATTACAAGCATATGGTTTCTCGCCAGTGTGGATTCTCTGATGATGAGTAAGGGTAGAGCTCCAGCTAAAGGTTTTCCCACACTCATTACATTCATAAGGTTTCTCTCCAGTATGGATCCTTCGATGTAGAATGAGAGCAGAGCTACAACTGAAGGTCTTCCCACAATCATTACATTCATAAGGTTTCTCTCCAGTGTGGATTCTTTGATGCTGAATCAGATGTGAACTCTGGCTGAAGGCCTTCCCACATTCACTACATTCATAGGGCTTTTCCCCAGTGTGGATTCTCTGATGTTGAATAAGGTCTGAAGTTCGATTAAAGCTCTTGCTACATTCATCACACTTATGGGGTCTATCTCCCACAGGAAGTCTCTGATGCGGAATAAGGTTGGAACTCACAGTGAAGCTGTTCCCCAAATCATTATATTTCTGACTTCTCTCTCCCATGGGGGTTAGCTTTTCCTCAACTGTCACTTTACCAAAATCTTGTATCTTCTTACTCAGTCTTTTTCCAGAGGAGTTCCCCAGCTGTCTCTTTAGATTGACTTCTTTTTCATACGCTTCTTCAAGCTTAAGACCCTGAGAAATATCCTTTTGAAATCTTCCCAATAGCACCCCATGTGATCCTGTATCTTCAGAAATTTCTTGATCATGCTCAGTTCTGGTCTCACCATCTGGCATAATACAAAATACAAACATCACTTGTTCCTTGTGGAAGAAAGAATCAAAACCAGAGGACAGCATAATCACATGCATGCCTCTTATCTGCCCAGGCTATGTGTAGCTAAGGCAGAATAAGAGAAGAAAAAACAGGGAAGGAGAAAGGCAGGAAGCAAAACTGAGAAAACAGCTGAAAGTAGAAAAAGTTGGATTGTAAGGGCAGGGTGGATCAGGCAGGGTCAGGGAACCAAGAATAAAAGAAGAAGGGCATGTTCAATGAAGTGACAAAGTCCTCAGACAGGTTAAAGACTGGAGATATAATCTGGGAGTGGTGACTACCAGAACTGTTTAAGAAAAGTGGGGAGGGTGATGAGAAACAGTAGCAGAGCATGAAGGAGCACCAAACTGAGGTCACTAGAGATCCCTACAGCCCTAGGCGAAAAGAACACTCATGTCTGTAGCTGTGCCACATGTGCCAAATGCATAGATAGAGGCAAGAGATAGAGTTAGTCTACCTCTGGGCCCTAAGCCTAGAAGGCTATGCTATGATGTGATGATATATAAACAATTTCCATATGTGACTTCTCTGTTTTCACTGTCCTGGGATGTTTAAAGGGAACTTCAAGCACAGAGGACAAATATAAAGGGTCTAGATGTTAGCATTTTTTTTTTAGTTTGTCAATATTTTAAAAAGTAAATATAGGGCAATGAGTATTAGGGACAGAAATAGCTGTTTCTCCTTCACTTGCACAGGCACCTCTCAGAACCTCTCTCTTCTCAATTCCCCTCAAACCCAGAACTCTCAGCTCCTCCTCAGCCCAGAGATCATGTCAAAATACAGGAATGGGAATCCTGCTCATGGGGAAAGACACAGGACAAGGTTTATCCTGTTCATATCAAGCAGTCACAGAGCTCAATCCCAGACCCAGGATCTGCCAGGGTCAGAAAGGAAATGTCGGGGAGGTTTCAAACGGAGTTGGAAAGACCCTCTGGTGTTGTCGAAGAACATGTTCTCACAGTTCAAGGTGAGAGACAAGGAATTAACAGTCCACAGACTAAAGGTTAAGAAGGGAATTGTTCCCTATAACAAGTTAAAATGTCTACAAGAGTAGCAGTTGCACTATGTCATGAACAAAGCAACAAGTCCCTTGAGGTAGCCCAACAGAGAAGGGGAGGAGATAGAGTTCCAGAATGTTCACGGACACACAGCAGTACCTCACATGTTCTGGGATCCCAATATGCTAATCTTTTGGAAAAGTCTCTGGATTATACGTTAAATTCTGAGAATAACATGGAAAAAAAAGTACCATATTTGGACTTCAAAAACCAGAGGTAGAGTTCCACCACGCACCAGCTATAGGAACGTGTGTAAAGCATTTCAGATCTGACCTCTCTTTCCTCAACTATAAAATGAGGAGGATAATTCTAGCTCCCTCAAATACTGTGTTACTGTGAGGATTAAATTAGAGAATATATATGAAACCTTGTTATAAACTGTAAGTTACTATGCAAATGGGAGTTACTATTATTATTATTATTATAATTTTCTGAGACTAAGACAATCCTTAATTAATTATCTTCTCCAACTCAATTGTTACTAGCCAACAAGGAAGCAAAGAAATGCCAAGTGAGTTTTATTGAGAAAGCGTAACTCCTTACCCAGTGAGAACACATTCCCATAGTTCTCCAGCATCACATCTCTGTAGAGATTTCTCTGAGCAGGCTCCAAACGCTTCCACTCCTTCCGGATAAAGTACACAGCTACATCCTCAAATGTCACCAACTCCTGAAACAACATGTTCCTACATGCAATTTCAGGGTGAGGACTGGCAGCACCAAAAAAATAATTGGGGATGGGGTTAAATAAAGCATATTTGGGAAATTGAGGAAAGGAGATTAGGGTGGAGAGAGGTGAGAGTCCAAGAAAGAAAGCAAGGTCCATTACTGAGTAGGAAAAGACCACAGTCCCGATGGAGGGAATCGTGGTTGGGGCACTGAACTGGGATGGTGCTGAACCAAAATGTCCACAAAATGCAAAAGAAAAAGAGGATAAGGGGAACCAGAGCTTACCTGGGACTTGGCCTTTAGGAGTGCAGCCGCCAACACCTCATTCCCCAGACTTTCCTTGTTGGAAAATGCAGGAACTTTTGAGGAAGGAAGAGCTGGGGACATTAAAGGGTTTATGAGTTAAGTTTGCTGCTGTCTGGCCTCCTAACCTACAGAGAACTCAGAGGGTCCTGGGACAACCTAGGACCTATTCCCTCTGACATTTTTAAGTTCACTTCCTCTGTAGCTACGAAAGGTGCTTATAATAGGCACATTCAGCGTGGGCCCATTCTAAAGAGAGATGTCTAAAACTATGTTGAATTTTGCTCTCTACTCTGCCCCTGCTCTCTTCCTTTCTATCCAGTCGCTCTCCTCTCAATGAAATGTGCCCAGTCTGTTGTTAGTGATGAGTATGTTCTTGTCCATTCTCCCAGGCCAGAAACAAAGGCTGTCCTGCTCATATTCCTTTCATTTTCCACATCTCTGAACTCAAACTACTGTATGAAATTCTCTTAGACCAGAGGAAAACTAGGAGCTTTACCCCAACCCTGACTAAAGACATAACACTCATAGCTCTTCTCCATCCCCAGATCAAATGTACAAATCTCAACACTGTAGGTGTTTCCTGTTTCTGTACTTAATCATCTTTCTTTCCTTCCCCTTCCCTTCTCTCTTTCCTTTCCTTTCCCGTTCCCTTCCCCCTCTCCTTTCCTTCCTTTGGTTTTCTTACGACCCCTGGCTGGGACTGGAATGGCTGGATCATATGGGTATGTAAGTTTAACATCTTTAAAAATGATGAACTATTTTCCAAAGTATTTGTCCAATTTTACATTTCCATCGGCACTATATAAGAGTTCTAGTTCCTCGCCAACATTTGGTATGGTATATCTTTTATTTTTTTATCATTATTTTTTAAAGATTTTATTTACCCACTTTTAGAGAAAGGGGAAGGGAAGAAGAAAGGGAGAGACATATCAATGTGTGGTTGCCTCTTGCATGACTCCTCCTGGGACCTGGCCCACAACCCAGACATGTGCCCTGACTGGGAATCGAAGCAGTGACCCTTTGGTTTACAGGCTGACGCTCAATCCACTGAGCTATCCCAGCCAGGGTTTAGCCAATCTAATGTATGTTTAGTGGTATCTCACCATTGTTTGGAATTGCATTTCCCTGATGAACAACATCAAACATCTTTTCATGTGCTTACTGAGTGTCTGTATATCTTTTTTTGTGAAGTGTTTATTTAAATGCTTCCATTTTAAGAAGTGACTTGTCTTCCTGAGTTACAAGAGTTTTTCTGTACTCTGGATACAAGTCCTTATCAATTAGCTGTACTGCCCAGATTTTTTCTTGATCACCTACTTTTTTTGTAATTTTTAGGTTAACATATTTATTCCATAGAGACTTGAAATCTCTAGATACTAGATTCTGCAGAATCACCCAGACAAAAAAGGTTCTTAAATGCTTTTCCTCCTAAGCAAGGGAATAATAACCACTAGGAATGAAACTGGCTCTAGTCATGAAAGCAGTCTATGCAAGCAAAATACTAATACTTTCATGGCTTCCTACCTAATTTTTAAAACTTTTTTAATTTTTTAAAATATATTTTATTAATTATGTCATTACAGTTGTTCTATTCCCCCCTTCATTCCCCTCCACCCTGCACACCCCCTCCCCCATCATTCCCCCCTTTAGTTTATGACCACGTGTCTCAAGTTCTTTAGATTCTATACTTTCCATACTATTCTTGCCCTCCCTCCTATCTATTTTCTACCTACCATCTATGCTACTTATTTCCTGTACCTTCTCCTTCTCCCACTCCCCTGTTGCTAACCTTCCATGTGATCTTCATTTCTATGGTTCTGCTCCTCATCTAGCTGTCCTCTTAGTTTATTGCTCTATCCAGCAAAGCTTTCATTTAGAATGGAAGGGCAGATAAAGTGCTTCTCAGATAAGATCAAATTCAAGGAGTTCATCATCACCAAGTCCTTATTATATAGAATGTTAAAGGGACTTACCTAAAACTTTTCTATTTTATCTTTTGCCTGTGACCTACAAAACAATTCCCAAGAGTGTCCTCTAAGCATGTGGTCCTAAAGAGCAAAAACCAGGACTATGAACTTGGCTGTTAATGAGCCCCTGGAAAATGAAATTTGGTGAGTGTCCCAGTTTTCTTAACTCTGCACAAAGAACCCACAGCCCTTAAAAGTGCCTTAGCTATAAAACCTATCTAGCTGTATGTTAATCCACACTCAGTTGTGAGTTACTGGATGGCAAGAACTCTGTCTTAATCATGTCTGTATTATAGCAATTTGCCTAGTTCCTGAGATTTCAAGAGATGACTGTTGAATAGCTGAATAAATGAATGAATGAATCTCCCATTCCTTACCACTCTCAAGCAGGGCCTGAGGTTCCTGAGATGTGTGATCAGCCTGAGTTTCCATGGGTAAGGCCAGAAGTACCTATCTCTGGTCTCCTATATACAGACTCAGCCAGAAGCAGGTTTTGAATGAGAATAAGGAAGCACTGCAGAAATAAAGTTCAAGATTCATATTAAAAACAAAAAACAAACAAAAAAACCCTTACTAGCATTTTAGTTAATACCCAAGAACAATGAGAGGAAATGCAGTAATGGGGACTAGTCTTTAAGACCCTGGTAAATATATATATACTCCATTCCCTATAATGAGGTTACATGAGGATCACTAAAAGGGGCCGAGTTCCTTGACAATATCTCACTTTTGGCTACCCATAGACACCGAGGGACATTTTTAACAACAAAAAACAGAGAATACCAGTGCCAAATAATAATGTTAACAGAATAAAATAGTAAATAACTATCAAAATGAAAAATATCAAGGTAAAAAAGAAAGTATACACATAGACTATAAAATATATATATATGCACCATACCAACTTTGAAGAATATTTGGTTCCTGGCTGGTGTGGCTCAAATATTCAGCGCTCAGTGGATTGAGGGCTGGCCTGAGAATCAAAATGTTGCCAGTTCGATTCCCGGTCAGGGCTTATGCCTGGGTTTTGAGCCAGGTCTCCAGCTGGGGGAGTACAAGAGGCAACCGATTGATCTTTCTCTCACATGTTGATGTTTCTCTCCCTCTCCTTCTCCTTCCCTTCTTTTCTCTAAAAATAAATAAATAAAATCTTTAAAAAAAATTGGGATCATGGAGAAAGCTATTTATTTATAGAGGAGAAAAACAACCCCCATAAACATTAGAATTGGTAGAAGAAAAAAACCTTATTAGGTTTCTATCTGTTACATTAAATTTAGGTGTTATCCTTAGAGAAGAAGGAGCCATGTAATAGCAGCCAAATAATGGAGATTAGAGATGCTGACTGAGTTCCATGTCTCTCATGTTAAAAACCTGCAGAGACAACCCCAGTCCCACAGAGCTAGGGCAAACAGCACTATTAAATTAAATAAGATAAATTCATCCTCCTCTTTCTTTCTAAAATTGTTTTCTCCTTCCTGTCCCAGTCAAAGGTGGGATATTGTGGAGGAACTTGGACCCTTCTGTGGTCCTTGTGAGTCTCATGACAGGGACTGGGTATAATACATTCACCTGGATTTGAAAGACTAGTCCCAGTTGCTATGTATCCTCTCACTGAGAAGGTGGCAGCCAACTTTCTTTTTTTCTCCCTTCTCTCCTAATACATTGCCTTAGGTCAGAATATAAGTCCCTGAAGCAGGGACAAATACTTTTTAAAAAGCACAAGATTACTGATTACTTTGTTTTTACCCCTATTAATGTCCCTGCTTCCCAAATGCTACATATCAAGAGATCTGTTTTCTGTGGTTCTAGTGAATAAAACATAACATTAACACCTAGACTAAGGTTTGGATCTCGAATAGCAGTTTCCACTTCACTGAACATTATGGCAAGAATCAACAGATCTAGAATAGATGCAGCAGCCACCAGAGCACCCTTACACTTAGGTAAGAGCAAAGGAAAAAAAAAATCCCTGGATTTTGTCTACTTCCTTCTTTTCGTCTGTTTATTTGCTCATGTAGCAAACATCTGTTGAGTGCCAACTATATTGCAAGGCACTACTAAAAGGAGTAAAAAACCAGGAATGCAAACAGTATTTGCTTCATCATCAGACTGTTGTATTCACATGAGACATAAAAAGGGGAGGGGCCTAGTCTGAGAGTCACTGAGAGTTCAGAGAACTCTAGTCTTTGGGCAACAAAAGGGTATAAAATGCTCACCACCAACACCATTACACAGTGAAAAGCACTGAATCAGGCATGAGCTGGGCCCACCAGTTCAAGGTGGGTCACATACCCTCTTGCCACCATCACTCTCCCAACTGGGTCCCTTTGAACCAGGGGTCCCCAACCTCCAGGACTGTTAGGAAACAGATCACACAGCAGGAGGTGAGCTTGAATGTAATACGTATGAATCACCCTCAAACCATCCCCAGCTACCTGGTTGACGGAAAAATTGTCTTCCACAAAATCGGTCCTGGGTGCCAAAAAGGTTAGAGACCGCTGCCAGCCATCTCTTTGTTCCTATCAACATCTACAATTTCTAGGACTGTTTATAAGTAGACACCCGAAACAAATCAGCTCTCAGTCCAAACTGTCCTTGGAAAGGAAAATCAGACTTTGATTTTCATGGGGAAAAAAAGCAATGCTCCCTCCTCACAGCTGGGTTAACCAAAGCTGTAACTCAAAGGCATATTGTTGAGAACAAGTACCCAGTGTCTGGATCAGTAAACAATGTTTCTCATAGAAAGAAAACTCTCCATTGTGCTCCCACAGCTTCAGAAGCAGGCTGGGCCCTTCCCCTGCTCTAATGCCAACCCCTCTCCCTCAAGCAGCTTCTGGGGACTGAGAAAAATGACCTAGTAGTGAAAACGACTCATGGAAAGCTTTACCTGCTGGATCCTTTCCTACTTTCTTTAGAGTTATCTTGAGAAGGCCAAAGTAGCACTTAGGGGGAGATTCTGTTCAAGTTCCCAGGAATTCTGACTTTAGTTGATGCCAATGCTGCAAATGATTAAGGGGAAAAAACAAAAAGGAATTTAAAATACAAGTAAACTTCACTTCTAATCTAGATATCTATAGAAAGGGGAAAAAAGAGATGTATGCTAATAAATACTAATTAAGACCACAACAACTGGTCTTGTGTTGCATCCTGAAGAAAGCTGAAAGGGACTGCAAGTTCTCCAGGTCACACTCCCACTCCATGTTTAGATCCCTTCTCAAGATGCTAACAATGTCGGCTTACTTCCTAGATACTCTCAATACTTCAGCAAGGCGTCTGTTCCATTGCTGCATAGTTCAGCCACGGGGAGATGGTAAACTGAAAACCCATCCCTTTGGACCTTCACCTCACAGAGACCTAATAACCTATGGAGCTTCAACGACAGAATCTTCTCCCACACAACTGTCCAAAACCAAATGATGATGCCCTCCCTCCATAAACTTCTCTTTTGGGGGATAAGTAACTATAATTTCTCTAATAGTCCAAAGATTTCAGGTTCATCATCCTGCTAATCCTCTGGTACAGTTTAAACATGCCCTTCAGAGGGTAAACACCGGGTCAGTGTTCAATCTCACCACAAAACCGGATCAAATCTGGGATCAATACAGTTGCAAATGGAACACAAAGTTGTACCACTCTCCATAAACGACTCTATTTACTGGGCGCCAGTGGATTATTCCCGTAACTGAGTTTGCACTTCCTTCCAGACATAGCTCTAAATGCGCACACTTCAAAGAACTCATTCTCTGACTCTAAACACCCAGGTAAGTAAAAACAAACCTCCTCTGCTACCGCGGATGCGAGTAACTGTGTGAACCTCAACTAAAAGCGTCTCGGAGAACTACCAAGTTAGGGTGGCTGTCACCAATTGTTTCCAAGAGAGGGACCCTTCTACAGCCACAGTGGAACTTTTAAGTGCTCTTGCTGGGCGCTGACTCGCTAAACCAGAACCGCAGCCCCTTTCTCTCTCCCACGCAGGTGAAGGTGCGTCCCTGGAAAAACGGAGTCGGGGACCGGCTGCGAGGGAGCGAGCGGCGCCTTCAGCACCCTGCTCCAGGAGGGCCTGGGGTCCCCACGGGCTACAGCATCACGGACACCACCCCCTTCCCGGGTGATCACAGACTCCGTCTCACCGCGAGCCCCGAGTGCGGCCGGACTCACCCTGGGGGTAGGGACGGAAGACTTGAGGGGCCCGGACACGGACCAGGCCCCGTTGGACACTGTCACAGACTCACACACCAGGGACAGAACAAAGAACGGAAGCTTCCTCCGTTGCGCTTCCGGGTCGGTCCCCCCCCCCCTTTTTTTTTCTTCTCTTCTTTTGCCAGTCAACCCGCGCCCGTACCTCTACCCCGTGCGCCGCTCTCTCTAGGAAAATGGGAGGTCTCCGCCTCTCGGTGGTTTACTGACTCCCTGTCACAGTCGCGTGGCACTGGCGAAAGGCCCAAACGCTGACGGGACAGCTGGGCCTTCCGCCCCCGCCCAGCCGCGCCCCCTGCTGGCCGGGCGGGTTGGGATCCCACTCACCTCCGTCTCAGGGCGCATGCTCAGGAGCCACAGGCCCGCGACTGGGCGCAGTAGGGGGCGCGGTAGGGCGTGGGAGAAACAGGGTCGACTGGCTTTGGCTACACGCATGATTTCCTGAGTGGCAGCCAGTGGCGGAGGAAAGCGCTCAGTGCGTGAGTGCCCCGGCTCTTAGCCGAGCTGTAGTAGTAAATTTTGGAAGGATTCATCAATATAAAAAACTCAGCTTTATTTGAACTTTCCAAATAAACTAAGTTCACGCTTCCAGAGTTTTCCGTTGGTATTATCCGGGACCAGGGCAGGCTGCCGCAAAATATCGAACAACACTATATTGATTATTTTGATTTAAACTTACTTTAAAAACTAGCAATGCAAGAAGAAAGCTCTGACCTCTCTGCATCCTCCTGAAATCAGGAGAATTATCTCCCTTGTGAAAAGTGCCCTTCTTGCTCCAAGGGGGAAAGACACCCTGGAATTAGGAAATCCAGGAGTGGGGCTCGAGGGTAGAAACTTAAGGTAAAAACCTTGTTACTAATTTACAACCCAAATCCAGACTTAGTTAGATTAGATTCCTCACCGACGAGCGTCCAGACCTGTCCTGTTGATTCTTCACAAACTTATTGTTTGTCTAAAAGTATGAAAAGATGGCAGGTCTGTCAATTCTCTGAGCATCATCTATGCTCTCCCATGCCCACATTTTTAATTGGATTTTCTCCTGTTAATCTGGCCTGTTCATTTTATTATTAGTCCAGTTGTAAGAACTCAACAAGGGTAGCAGGAAGAATGTCCCCCTCCCCAACAGTGTCATGTAAAACTGCCCCCTTAAATTACTAAAATCTCAAGAATACATTCCAGCCCGTCAGAGAATTCAAGTGAGGACAAATCTGTACAAGGGATGAGAGAGAAAAACTTGGGGAACTAACTGATTTTTAAAAAGGTGGGGGGAACCTATTGGTGTGATGAATGTATGCAATGAGGAGCAAGGTTTAGTGGTTCACTCATCTTTACTTGCTTTTATGCCTTCACTGATGAAACCCCGTTCTTACAGATTACATACAAAACAAACTCTTCTGATCTCCTGAGTAACAAGAGCCCTTCTGATCCCCCTTAAGAGCTCTGTCTCACATTTGATCCCAACTTTTACTTTATCCAATATTTAGTGTTTAGCCTCTCGGCTCTGTGAATGCAACAGACCTTCCTCTCAGTGACTTCAGTCTAAGGACAATAATTTGAATAACCAATGCCAATGAAATATGGTGTGCTAAGAAAAGGCTCTGTGAGGAGGTTAGACTTCCAGAAGTGATGCAGTCTTTTTAATTTTTGTTTTAGGGAGGCAGCAAAAGTAATACTCAGAGACCGATTCTGTTGTTGCCTGTAATTTAGTTAGTACAGGTTTGCTGTGGAAATTATAATTTCACAAGCCAATAGCATCTCTGAATTAATTTTTCTTCTTTGGGATTTATTTAAGGAAAAGTATGGTTTATCTTGCACAGTTTCCCACTGTCTGGAGTTTCTTGTCTTCCTGCATTGTCCTTAGATCTAGACCAGATGCCAGAAATGTTTATTTACTTTTTTCTTTTAAATTATATTTTATTTATTATGCTGTTACAGTTTTTCCCCCTTTGCTCCCCTCCATCCAACACTCCCACTCCCTCACGAAATTCTCACACCTTTGTTCATGTCCATTAGTCATTAGTGTAAGTTCTTTGGCTACTCCATTTCCTGTTTTGTGGATAGTCTATGACTACCAATTTGTACTTCTATATCCCCTCACCTCTCTGCCCATTTCCTCATAACCCCCTTCCATCTGCCAAGCATCAAAACATTTTCCATATCCATGACACTGTCTCTGTTCTTCTTGTTGACTTAGTTTGTTTTTTAGATTCTATTGTTAATAAGTATGTGTTTATTGCCATTTTATTGTTCATAGTATTGCTCTTTTTCTTAAATAAGTTCCTTTAACATTTCATATAGTAATGGCTTGGTTATGATGAACTCCCTTAGTTTTTTCTGGTCTGGGAAGCTCTTTATCTGACCTTTAATTCTAAATGATAGCTTTCTGGGTAGAGCAATCTTGGCTGTAGGTCCCTGCTTTTCATGACTTTGACTATTTCTTGCCAATCCCTTCTAGCCTGAAAAGTTTCTTTTGAAAAGTCACCTAATAATTGTATGGGAACTCCCCTATAGGTAATTAACTGCTTTTTGCTTGCTGCTTTTAAGATTCTCTCTTTATCTTTAACCTTTGGCATTTTAATTATGATGTATCTTGCAGTGGGCCTCTTTGCATCCATCTTGTTTGTGACTCTCTGTGCATCCTGGATTTGCATGTCTATTTCCTTCACCAAATTAGGGAAGTTTTCTTTCATTATTTTTTTTTCAAACAGATTTCAAATTTCTTGCTCTTTCTCTTCTCTTTCTGGCATCCCTATGATGTGAATGTTGATACACTTAAAGTTGTCCCAAAGGCTCCTTACACTTTCCTCATTTTTTTAAATTCTTTTTTCTTCTTGTTGTTCTGATTGGTTATTTTTTGTTTTCTTATGTCACATATCATTGTTTTTATTCTTGGCTTCATCCACTCTACTGTTGATTCCCTCTAAATTGTTATTTATTTCCATCAGTATATCCTTCATTTCTGCCTGGTTCTTTTTTATGCTGGTGAGGTACTCACTATATAAGGATGCTAAGTTTCTTGAGCATCCTTATATCCAGTGTTTTGAATTGGATAAATTGCTCATGGTGATAAATTGCTCATGTCCATTTTGTTTAGTCCTTTACTGGAGTTTTGATCTGTTATTTCATCTGGGCCATGTTTCTTTGTTTCCTCATTTTGGCAGTCTCCCTGTGTTTGTTCCTATGTATTAGGTCAGAGCTGCTATGACTCCCTATATTGATAGTGTGGTGTAATGTAGTAGGCGTCCTATAGGGTAGAGTGGCACAGCCTCCCCCTATCACCCAATCTGGGTACTCGAGGTATGCTCTCTGTGTGATGTGAGTGCACCCTCCTCTTGTAGTTCACTCTTGATTGCTGTTGACAGGTTAATGGGAGGGATTTACCTAGGCCATTCAGTTGCAAGGACTGGTTATGACCACTTATTACCCACCTCCATCCTCTGTGAAAGATCAGCTGTGCAGGGGCAGGGTGGTTGTGTTCTGGCATGGTCTGTATCTGTCCACTGGGTGCACAGGCTCTGGGCTTTCCTGGTTGGTGCAGGCCAAGGTCAGCCCCCACCTATGTTCTGCCTGGAGCCACCTAGCATGAGCTACAGAGCAGTCTGCAGATGGCTGCTGCTTGTGCTATACTTGGAGTTTCCCAGGCAAAGCTAAACTGTGATCCAAAGCTGGATGCTGCTAGGGCTGGGGGCTCAATGAGACTGGTTGTTGCTTGAGAGGCTTTAGAAAGATGCGAAGCCTGAACAGAGACCAACCATTCATATGGAAAAGACACTGGTAACAGCTTGGGTGGGCTGTGAGTTGGGTGAGGGAGAGCCTCAGGGATTCTCTAGGGTGGAACAAACCATGTGAGTAAGCCAGGTTGATGGAGTCTTAGATATGGCTTCCACCTGCCAGCTCTGTCATTCTGTGGAGAGAGGGTTCAGAAAAGGAACAATGGCCTTTACCCTTCTTTCTGTCTGGGAGAAAACTGTCCCCCAGCTCTTTCCCTGGTGCTAGATATTTCAGTTCCTCACTGTATGCCACAAGTGCCACTCAGCCACACCTTCTTGTCTATAATGAACACTCCCCTGAGGGACTAGAGAAAGGGAGGAAATAATATACTTCAATATCCAGGAGTAGCTCCCATTGGGAGCCACAGGGTGGGAAAGCTTTGGCTGGGATGTGGATGCTGTGCTCTGGGTGGGCTGGCAAGTGAGGTCAACTCACTTGTCAGATAGTTATTTTCGAATATGGCCAAAAGTCATATGGGTTTTATGTGAATGAAAATTTTAATTTTGGTGAAACAGCCAAAGACCCTGTCATGGTGTGACAACCAAAGGAGAGAGACAGCCAACCAAGGTAGGGAGGAGGAGGGAGGCATGTTTCACCCTGTAACTCAGCAGTCCTGAGCCTGGGCCGGTCATACTGCCAGGTGTTCCAACAGCACAGGAAACACCATGCTGACCCGGGAGGAGAGCAGTCCTTGAGATTCTATGAATCGTCTCCACTATCTGGGAAAGAAAGCCTGTGAAACTGCTTTCATCCCAAGGCCTAAAAGGCCAGAAAGGGCCACAGTGCCCAAAGGAAGAAGCCCATTAATACCTCTGTGTATTCCTGGCACCCCACCACCGAAAGCTGGCTCCACCTTCACCTGTCAATCAATAAGTAATTTCTTCAACCCCATCCTGCCACCTATAGAAGCCTTCAGAACACAGGACTCTGGCTTGGTGCTCTTGGCTCTCTTGGCTTTCCATGCTTACCACTCCAGCTCTTACCATGCTTGTGCTTGCCACCTCGGCCTTTGGTCACCCTTACTTTCCCCACCCTTACCCTGCTTTGCCCTGAACCTTTGCCTTTCAACACCACTCCCCCTTAACTAGGCCCGTTCTCTTTCATGAGAATGAATCACCAATAAACCCTGCCTGCATGGTAATAGACTCACTGATCTGTAATTCTTTTTTTTTTTTTAAGATTTTATTTATTTATCTTTAGAGGGGAAGGGAAGGAGAGAGGGAGAGAAACATCAACGTATGGTTGCCTCTCGTGCATCCCCTGCTGGAAACTGGCCTGCAACCCAAGCATGTGCCCTGACTGGTAATCTAACCGTGGCTATTTGGTTCACAGGCTGGCTGGCACTCAACCCACTAAGGTACACCAGCCAGGGCTGATCTGTAATTCTATACCGTACTGGTGAGAAGAACCGAGTTGCTGGGAGTTTCTCCCATAACAATGGCACATCTTATTAATGTGAATCTATGGCTGGGCTGGAACCCAAAGTGTCTGCACTTCGTGTGGGTGGTGGGCTTTGGCAACCTTTACCTGGCAGGTCATCTCTCAGTGGCTAGCACTTGACTGGAGTCTATTCATTTGTCTCCACTGCTACTGCTCAATCTATGGAGCATGCCTCTAAACCACTGAGTCACATCTGGCTCCTACAAAGATGTTTTGATGAAACTACAGGTAAGTTTCATCCTTTACAACTGCAGGTGAGGAGATGGCTATAGATGTATATGCCTTCTAGGTTAGGTTAGAGATCAGGAAGTTGAGGTAAATCACACCAGAGAGCCTGGATTTTCTATTTAGTGGGAGGCAGAGTGAGAGTGGAGGGGTCAAGGTTGTGGAGAATGGGGTTTCCACCCGGTGCCAGGACCAGGTGAGCAGAGACATCCTTGGCATTCCCAATGGCACTGCAGGCTGTCTACTGACAGTGATGGCCCAGAAGGTTTTAGGGTATTGCCAGAAATAGGAAGGGGAAGATTGGTATAGGAGATTTTATAGAGCTAAGAATAAGAGCACTTGGCAACTGATTAAATGCCCAGGATGAGGACATGGGGGACAAGAAGATGTGCTGGGATTAGCTCAAGGTATACTAGTTTCTACAACAACCAAACACGATTTATTCTCTTTTTCTAGATTGTAACTCTTAGGGGAGAGGCATGTGGACCAATTTATCTTTGTACCCCCACAGATCCTTTGTCAATAAAAAAATAATGATAGTTTATTTATACATTAAACTCTTCTGGCTACCTCCAATCATAAATGAAATGTGAACATCTTATTATCTCTCAGCTTATGCTCCTGGATAAAGAGCATGTATGTGTGGTGCCTCTGTGTGTGTATGTGAGGGTGGTTATGGTGTTTTGGGTGGAGAAAGTGCCCATAAGATGTGGACTACTCTCAGATGACTAGCCCATTGTAGGTTTTGGGAACCTGCTCAAAGCCAGCACCTGGGATCAGGATTCTTTGAGCTACAGTGAGGCAGTGCATATGTTCCTCCTGCCACAGGGAGCACTGCCAAACACAGTTGACTCAGGAGGCCTGTCCAGCCCCTGTCCAATAAAAGGCCACTAGTATTCATTGAGGTGGGCTTGGAGGGAGTATTCATAAGTGGCCTGGTGGGACAGTGCCCCTCTGTGCAAGGCCAGGGTGTCTATACAGTCATTTTTTGGCCAGCGCTGCATAAGCCAGTGGTCTGCATATCCTCTGGGCTGGACATGACCCAGCTGCCGTGCCTGGTTCCTGATAGATTCCAGATTGGGCAGCAGTAAGGACAAATTCCTGGGCACAAGAGTGACCCAGGTACCAAAAACTGCCTGGTGCTGCCAATTTTGCATAGAGGCCATTTCTCAATGCAACAGCGTCACCTGCCGGACACAGCCATTAAGTACACCTGCTACTGAAGAACTCCAGACCCAGGAGGCTTTGTAATTTTCCAGCCTGATACCCGCCTTTCGGAGTAAATCAGGTTGAACCTCATGGTTAAAACGATGGGACGAGCCTAACAGGCCTCACTAGTCAAATAGAAATGGTATTTTTAAGAGCGCAGTCTGCCTAGACCTAGAGAGGTTTTACGCGAAAAGTGGCAGCTACTGCTTTGGGAGAAACCACTTGAAGCAAAGACATGGCTCAGTGGAGTCGTCAGGTCTCAGAGGTTCCCCTAAATGCCTGGGCCTGGCTCGCTGAAGGCTTCACTAAGGTGAAACCTGATGGGGTCCATCGGATGACTGCTATTTTCCAGCCTTAGGACCAGCTGTGTTAAACTGAAAGCACTGGGCAGAACTCACAGCTGTTCTCGTTATACAGCTAGCAAATGCTCCCCTGGATGAGCCGTGTTACATTTCACTGACTTGGGCTATTAGCATGGCAGCTTGGTTCACCACTTGGAGAATTACAGGTATGGAATTCTGAAGACACACCCTTTGGAGCAGTGAACTCCTTGGCTCTGACAGTTGGGTCACTCACATGGATGCCCATGGTGAGGCTCAGGTCGCTGATAAAACTGACTGGCATCAGTCTGCTGATCAAGCCTGCACTGCCCAGAGGCTCCCTCCTGTCCCTCCTAAACTGACTCCACTGAACCTTCCACAGCCTCTAGGGGCTCTCTTGGTGCTAGTGTCCCTGTTTCAGTCTGATCCCCTGACTCAGGCCATATCATGATGGCCCTTGAAACTAACCTGTGTTGTGTTTTAGGCTTTGATGCGGGCCATCAACAGCCTGACATTAGTGTACTTTTTGCCAAAAGAGCCACCCAAGAATGGGCCAAGAGTCGAGGTTTTGAACGGTTTGCACTCCTTATTGTGGATAGCATCTGGTTGCCAAGTGCTGGAATGGCCTCCTCCAAAATCAGCTGTACCTCCTTTATCTCCTCTACCTCCTCCTGGTCCACACACCTTAATAAGACAGGCTGACCACGGAGTGTGGCCCTCCCTCCAAAGCATTTATCTCCTCTTGGCCAGCCATTTCTTCTTGGGTAGCGACGAGGATGAAAGGGGCGGGGAAGCTCTCTAGACTTATTTTGAAAATTAAAGATTCTGCCTTGACTATTCCTTGGAATTATACTTCTTTCCCCCCCCCTATAATGGCTGCCCCAGAACAGCACAGTTAGTAGACCCTCTGGTACAGCCAAGCCACAGGGGAGCCTAGGGAATGCGGACTCCATTCTAGCCCAGCCACTGGGATTCTCTTGTTGGACTGACATGGTTCTAGATCACTTGATTGAGGACCTTGCTCTCCAAATCCCTTACAGTTGCCCACATATGCTGGGGCAGGCTGAACAATGGCCCCCAAAGATAAACAGGTCCTAATCCTCGGAATCTCTGAGTGTTACTTTATGTGACAAAAGGGACTTTGCAGATATAAGTAAGGGTTTTCAAATGGGAAGATTACCTTGGATTAGCCCAGTGGGCACTAACTGTAATCCTAAGTTTACTGTACATGTGAGAGGGTGGCAGGGATAGATTTTGCTATGGAAGTCAATGTGATGATGGGAAAAGAGGAACAAAGATGTTGCTAAAAGTACTTGGATTAGAAGATGAGGAAGAGGCCATGAGCCAAGGAATGTAGCTCCAAAAGCTAGAGATAATAGGGAACAAATACAGGTGCCAAAGTGGAGGGCATAATGGGTCTTTGTAAATTTTGTAAAAATGCCCTTGTCTCACTCACACCTGGGCCTTGCAGACAAAGTTCTGGGTACATATAGGGAATAATTGGAGAAAAGGAGAAGTTATAGCTACTGGGATGTGACATATCAATTTCTGTCCATGGAAGAAGAGCAATAACCCAGCATCTGAAGGGAACACCTCAGACGCAGGAGGCAGCAGGACACTTAACACTATCGTCTAGAGGTATTGCCATCGTAGCCTGGTAAGCCCACCCATGGTCTGCCTGAGTTAGGCAACACCTTTGGCTGGCAATCTGACCCCCACTGGGTTTGCCAGTCTTGAAATTCCTCAAGTGAACACCCCCCTCCTCCACATGCATGCCAACATGACACACAGACCAGGACAGCCTTGTTTCACACTAACTGATATAAATTCACGTGCTTCTCCTAAGGCCCAAACATTCTTGAGTCAACAAATCCCATTTACTCTACTTTGAAATGTATCCTCAATCCAACCAGAACTTGCAGGCTGTGCCCTACACAGGACAGCTGGGTGAGGGGGCATGTGGGGACAGAAACCCAGCCTGAGCTCCAGAAGGGATCTTTTCTTTTTTTCCTCCCTTTTTTTTTTTTTTTTTTGAATTTATGAGTTTACTCTCTTAGCAACTTTCGAATATGCCACACAGTATCATCATATAGTCGCCAGGCTAGGAACTCTTTTTCTTTCTTTCTTTTTTAAAGATTTATTTATTTATTTTTAGAGAAAGAGGAAGGGAGGGAGAAAGCGAGGGAGAGAAACAACTAGGTGGGAAAGAAACATGCATGCAAGAGGCAAGGACACATTGATGTTTCTCTTCCCTCTTTCTCTCTCCCTTCCTCTCTGTCTAAAAATAAGTAAAGTCTTACAAAATAAAAATAAATTATTTAGGTACCCAAGAGTAAGGTATCTAAGTTGGTCCTGGGGTTACAATGAAGACAACGGAAGGCCCTTAAGTGAAAGTGGGGCATGTGAAAAGAAGAGATGTGAAAGCTAGTGTGGCTGAAACATGGGAACCGGAGGCCAGACAGACATAGGTTCAGAGCCAAATGGCAGGCAGGGACTCGATTATACTGGGCCTTGCAGGCCGCGGTAGCAGCTTGGATTTTATTCTGAAGGCAATACATAACATTTCATTCATTCTGCAATATACTCACGAACAAGTCAGTCTTATTTCAAAAGTACTAACGAAGAAGAAAAGGTTGAGGTCACGTAATTTATTTAAGGCCGGCTGCAAACAGGAGGCGGGGTCAGGGCCTACGAAAACCTGTTGGCTTCGAGGTAGTGCGAGCCTGACGCCTTAGCTGCTGGCTGCGGGTAGGGGCGTGCTAGCCAAGGCCAGGCGGCAAGGGCTGTGGGGGTCCAGACGTCAGACTAGATGCACGCCCCGGCCACACTGCGCATGCACTGCTGCGGGACGGAAACCTGGAGGGGGCGGGGCCCAGGCCGGCGGGCGCGGGGAAAATGGCGGCAGCGGCAGCAGCTGCGGCGAACGGGACGGGTGGGAGCAGCGGAATGGAGGTGGATGCGGCAGGTAACTGGCCCCGCGGGAACGGCTTCTGGAGACAATCTTCCGGGTGCATCAGGGCCCCCTTCCTAGATCGTGGAAGAAGTCAGGAGGGCGGACGGAACATCGCACCCTGGGATAACTTGCAGGAGGGATGTATAGGACGGGCTTTGCCATCTCCCGGGCGGAATGTGGGCCCCGGACTCTCACCCGCTGTTCTTTTCCTCAACCCTTAGTAGTCCCCAGCGTCATGGCCTCCGGAGTGACTGGGAGTGTTTCAGTCGCTCTTCATCCCCTCGTGATTCTGAACATCTCAGACCATTGGATTCGCATGCGCTCCCAGGAAGGGCGGCCTGTGCAGGGTGAGTGTTAAGCCGAATTCTGCAATCTTTTCTAGTCATCTCCCCCCAATAGTGTTTTTTTTCCTTCCTTTTCCCATTTGTTGGTTCACATTGACCTCAGGACATAATGATAAGGGAAGTTTTGGGGTTTTTTTTACCCTCACCTCTTATGTGTCCTTCTCTTCCCAGTGATCGGGGCTCTGATCGGGAAGCAGGAGGGCCGAAATATCGAGGTGATGAATTCCTTTGAACTGCTGTCACACACCGTGGAAGAGAAGATTATCATTGACAAAGAATATTATTACACCAAGGAGGAGCAGTGTGAGAGGGGAATAGAAGTGGGCAGAGGAGTGGGAGAAAATAGATGTGGGGAAGATGGATGGGGTTGGGAAGAAATAAACAGGACGTGGGATGAGTATGGTGGAATGAAGATATCTCAGAAAAAGACTACATTCAGGTATTCTGCCTAAAGAAAGTAAAGGATGACATGACAGAAGGGATTCTAAACTGAGCCAGGATTATAGGGGAAAGGGGAGAAGCTGGTGAAATTATACCAGGAGCTGCAAATTAAGGAAGGCTTGTTTAAAGAAATACTTTGGCCCCTTCCTCTCCAGTTAAACAGGTATTCAAGGAGCTGGAGTTTCTGGGTTGGTATACCACAGGGGGACCACCTGACCCCTCCGACATCCACGTCCATAAGCAGGTATACATGCTCACATATGTGCATGCTAGGCAGAGAATAGAGAATGAGGGGAAGAAAGACGGTCATTGACATTGTGTCCACCATCTTCTTCTTCCAGGTGTGTGAGATAATCGAGAGCCCCCTTTTTCTTAAGTTGAACCCTATGACCAAGCACACGGATGTGAGTACACTGACCCCGTCTATGCTTACTTTGTCATACTTGTCTGTCAGTATGCTTATCTTTTATCTTCATCCCCTTTTACTGTACGACATTTCTGTTGAGTTGAATCTTCATTCTGCCACTTACCAGCTGTGTGACTTTTGAGTTAGTCATTTAACTTTTAACTTGCATTTGCCTCATGTGTAAAATGGAGACAGTACCTCTGTCACTGCATTTATTAGATGAGAAAATCTAAAGTGAAAAGGCTAAGCCCAATTTTTGGCACATAGTATAGGTTCAGGCACATTTGATCTAAGAGCTGTTCTCCGTCTCTTTACAGCTTCCTGTCAGCGTTTTTGAGTCTGTCATTGATATAATCAATGGAGAGGTAATTCCCTCTTTCAACCCTTGGATCCTACCCCTTGTGTTTCCTGCTTTTGACTTTCCCTACATGCTCCACAGGCCACAATGTTGTTTGCTGAACTGACCTATACTCTGGCCACAGAGGAAGCTGAACGCATTGGTGTAGACCATGTGGCTCGCATGACAGCAACAGGCAGTGGAGAGAACTCCACTGGTAACTGAGGCTGGAAGGTTTTCCTTGGAAGTGGGGTGGGAGGTGTGGTCGCAAGCCTTCTCAACTGTGGCCTGTCCCCGTCCCCCTACAGTGGCTGAACACCTGATAGCACAGCATAGCGCCATCAAGATGCTGCACAGCCGTGTCAAGCTCATCTTGGAGTATGTCAAGGCCTCTGAAGCAGGTAGGATAGGGGCCTCCTGGCACTTTTTCTCTCTCCTAGGGAAGTGACAGCACCCACATTAATACAGACTTTTTGTGCCTTCAGGAGAGGTCCCCTTTAACCATGAGATTCTGCGTGAGGCCTATGCACTGTGTCACTGTCTTCCAGTACTGAGCACAGACAAGTTCAAGACAGACTTTTATGATGTGAGTGTAAAACCCAGGATGGGGAGGTGGGGCTTAATGCTGTCATTTCTGAGTGCAGGACATGGGACTCAGCTGTTCCTGGGGCATGCTGTGAAGGACCCAGATCCCCTGGGGAACTGGTTCTTTCTGTTCCCTCCCAGCAATGCAATGATGTGGGGCTCATGGCCTACCTTGGCACCATCACCAAAACGTGCAACACCATGAACCAGTTCGTGAACAAGTTCAACGTCCTCTATGATCGACAAGGCATCGGCAGGCGGATGCGAGGGCTGTTCTTCTGAGAGGGTACTTTGAAGAGTTGATGCACAGGGGTCAGACAACTGTCCCAGAGGGAGGGGTGCTATAGTCCCTTTAGAGAAACCTGTCATTAATAAAAGGGCAGTCCCTCAGCACCCCTTCCCATGGTTCTGTCCTGTGTTAGAGGCACCACGTTTTTCAACTTGGATCTCAGTGGAGGCCCTTGGTTCCAGCTTGCTCCAAGAGGCATGAGCCCCTCTTAATCACTGGCTGTTTTTTTTGTAATTGGAAGCTTATTGCGTGGACTGTCTTCACACAGCAGAAGGCTGCCTGCTTCCATCTAGGTCATCTTGTTCTAATGTCTCCCTATAAAGGACTACTTTCCCAAGCTTGTTTTTCAAACCCCACAGAGTGGGAGGGAGAGGGGTTTGAATACATTTCTGTCATGACAAATGAAAGCCGTGATCCTCTGGGCAGAGTATTTGCCAAGAGGTTTCCCAGTTGTTGCTGAATACTGAGTGCTTGCTATACACCTAGTATGTACCTGACCCAGAGGCACCTCAGCCTTGAGGCAGAAGTACTATTGTCCATACTTCAGAGACCAGGCCAGGTGGTGTCATCGTGGGTACTGTTCTGTGCAGTTACTTGTGCCAGGCATTTCATTTCCACATGCCTTCCTCTAGGTCCCTGATTTCCATTACCCCCCAAATAAGATTCAAGTAGGAGTTGGAGGACTACAGAGGTGTAATGAGATGTCTACTAGAGCCATTTCAGAAAGTAGAAATGGACAGTTGGGTGTAAGAAAGAGACCCCTATGTTACCATACATTGCCACTGTCTTCAGAACCTGAGTGTGTGTACGCCCCATACACATTGAGTCCAACTGAGAGGAGATCCAGGGAAATCAGTCTCTATATTGGTGCCTGGCAGGTAGGTACTTAGTGCATTTATTGAGTGGATGAAAGAAGACAAATATAAAGAGAACAAGATATAATTCTAGAACACACATAATACCTCATTTTAACAGAAAGCACCAATCTATAAACACTTTATTAGCAAAAATAATGAACAAAACAAGTGCAGCTTAGGAAAAAGACGGGATTCCCCCTTTCCTTTCAAGGGCACTGTTCCACCTTTAAAGGAAGGGGGAGAGGAGCTTAAGCATGGTATGCAGAGTAGGACCCCAGTGTCTCAAGTGGGCTGGAATCAGACAAAAGTTATCCGAGTCCGGGCAGTATTGACCTGCCATACATTTAATTCCTCATACTCATCTAGAGCTGCCTGGAACTGGGCAGGTGTGAAACCACGAGATATGCAGCGCTGCTCTGCCTCAGAAAACCGGACACTTCTGCTCTCTGAGACCAACTCACGGACAGTGGCAAATATCACATCTGCTGGTCTCTGGGTTCTGAAAGAAACAAGTATGGGTGTGGGTAAGGTCTGGGTAGAAACAAGAGCATTCAACAGACCACCACTGTACAGGTGTTACAGAAACCAAAGTGGCCTGCTTGTGAAAGTCAAGGTGACTCCTGATTTCTTCCTCCATTAAAGCACTCACCTAGCTGTTTGTCCCTTGTCACTCAGAAGTGAGTCTTTTGACATCTCCATTAGCCTTATGGCTTCATTCACATCTTCCTTTTCCACTGTGTCCACCATTCGCAGTCGTGCCTAAGGGGAAGGTAGGGACAGATGGGAACAGGAGGGGAGTAGCACAGTCAGGGAACCCCCTTCTGTGTTGCCTACAACAAAAACCAAGTGGAGGTCCCCTACCCTCCCCCACAAACATCCGCAGTGTGGGGCCGGCACTGTCAGACCGAGACAAGTGCAATGCCCAGGGCAGCGTCCAGCAATTGCCCAAGTCTCCGCCTCTCAACACTGGCCAGTCCCGGTGTTCAGCTGTCCTGCGAGGGAGACTAGACCCTTCTGAATTCCAGTGGGCTCCCACCATGACAGATGGAGCTCGGGGAGCTCAGCCTAGGAGGCGATTGGTATAGAGGTTGTATCCCTGGGGCTCTGGAAGTGCTAGCTCAGCAGTAGGTCAGATAATCACACTACCTGCACGAACAGCACTTTGGAGCCCCCAGGACTCGGGTCCAAGATGTAAGGACAGAATGAAGGTTTCTAGCACAGGATCAAGGACATAGTGAAATTCACCCCACCCATCCTCACAGTCAGGTTTGAGAAGCAGGGAGAAAGCCTTTCCCTCCATGGACGCTGTGTGTGCCCTGCTGGAGCAGCAAGTACCCACAGTGCGGTAGCATGGACAGGACCACTATCTGCACTGTCAGCACTTTAGCCCCAGCAAGGCCTGAGTGGAAGGGAGGAGGCAACGAGAAAAGGACATTAAAGCAGGCTGCCCAGTAAGAGTCAAAACAGTTAACCCTCCAGCAAAACAGGAACTGGGCACTCACCAGAGCAGTAGACAGTCGCAGAATAGCTAGCAGAGTCCTGGCAGAGGTATAGGTGGCATCCTTACTAGCCCAAGCCTCTCGCCTCATCTCCACATATGCCGCTGTGATATAGTCAGCCAGAGACTCTGGCACAGTGGGCTGCTTCTCCCGGCACATAGCTATGTATCGTCTACAAGAAAAGTGGTATGTGGGAAAGCAGAAAAGGGAGATGGGGAATAGTGTTTCCCATTTAATAAAACTCTAGGGGATCAGAGGGAAACTTTTAACTAGGAAAAAAAGTTATCTATGGGACTTGCACAGCACGGATGGATTTCTTGGTGCATTTCAAATTATTTCCAGCTTTTAAGGCAAATGGTCTGTGCATGAATAAGATACCCATCTGGCACTGAACATGGTACAGCTAAAAGGAGTGTATTTATTTGCTTTAACACAATTGTTTACTTGGAGAATGGATAATGGAGAAAAAACCTTGAAAAACCACCGGGAACCCTTGCATGGACCCGTGGAGAACGCAGTGGCATCAAGCATCCTTGGAGCAGGACTCAGCTCTGCCTAAAATCTGAGCCTGCCTCACCTGAGACAGGCCAGTGGTGTGAAAGATTGGTTGTGGTGTATGTTCTTGTGTGGCCAGGGGGAGATGCAAGATTCCCCCTGGGGGAGCCCTAAACTCAATGTTCTCAGATTTTAAGACACAGAAAGGGACAGAGTGGTAGTAAAACATACATACCCAAAGACCAAAAACTCGTTAACAGACAATACAAGACCCAAGACACTGTCACACAAGGTAACTAGTGAAGCACACTTGTCTTTACTCAGCTCTCCTACCTCATAAGCTTCATGTCCAAAGGTTCAAACTGGGCAGGAGGCTGCCGACTATGCTGGTGCACATAGGTGATATGCTGGGCCAACCTGGGAATAGTGGAGGCAAGGAGAAATGCTCTTTCTGGTGCTACACACCCTGTGCCCCAACTCTGTCTTCTTTCCTTGGCTCCATCTCATCACAGCAGGGACAGCTTTCTCAGGAAATCCTTAATGGTATTTCAGCCCAGACCCACCATTTCCCTAAGAACCTGGATAGTTTTCATCAGCAAAGAATCTGAGAGCTTCCCAATTTCTTCCCTCCCTCCAGACTATCCTCCTAACGAATGTCTCTTTGAGTGTTCAGATTTATTCACCGTAAGTCATTGTCTCGGTCAGGGCGGTCCTGGATCAGCCAGAGGAGGTCAAATCGGGAGAGTAGTGCAGCCGGAAGCTGTATGTTCTGTTCCAGGCTGCGGCGAGGGTTATAGCGCCCATAGGCTGGGTTGGCAGCAGCCAGGATGGAACAGCGGGCATTGAGTGTGGTTAGAATGCCTGCCTTGGCAATGGAGATGGTCTGTTGCTCCATAACCTCATGGATGGCTGTGCGGTCAGCCTCGGCCATCTTGTCAAATTCATCAATGCAGCACACACCTTGGTCAGCCAACACAAGGGCCCCACCCTCTAAAGTCAGTTCTCCAGTCACAGAGTCTCTCAGCACAGCTGCTGTGAGCCCCACTCCAGAAGAGCCTCGACCTGTCGTGTACTGGCCTGAATGGCAGGGTCAGGAAGGGAGGAAATAAACAGACATATTTAGGAAGAGGGAAAGAAACAACAGTGCAAAGGACAAGTAATGGGTACAGAGAGGCTGGCACTTATCCATTCAACTTACCCATCCAAGCCTTCCTGGGTAAAGATCTATGGGGTGCCAGTGCCGACAATTATCACCTTTTCCCAACCTTCTCCCACCTTCCAAACCCCCAAGAAAGAGAATAAACATGGTAACTCTATCCCTGTCTTCTACATCTACCTCTCCCAGAGCAACTGATTACTCACTGCGGGGTGCCAGACGATCAATGTAAGACAGGAGCTGAGACTTAGCTACACCAGGATCCCCCATCAGGCAGATGTTGATGTTGCCTGGAAGGAAAAGAAGCCCCTGCAACTACTTTCAATGCAAGTTACCCAACAACAGATAAAAATACCTAAGAAATCTGCCTCTGCCTCCATACCTAGGACCGTGGCTTCTGATCCCTCTCTGTGTCCATGAAGCCAAGATGCCAATTTTTATAAATTCTGTGATCTGCAGGGATACTTCTTGTCACCCATTCTTCCAAATGCCTTCCCTTACCCCCAGCCTCCCCCTCATTTCTTCTTACCCCTGATTTTCATGCCCCGAGGAGACTGGTCCACACCCCCCACCAGCAGGAGCAACAGTGCCTTCTTTACATCTTCATGCCCATATATTTCTGGAGCAATGGAGGCTGCCAGTTTTTCGTAGAAATCCTCCTCTGAGGGAAAATGAAGATTAGAAAAAAAAGTACTAGGAGAAAAACATTCCTGGTCTTTCCCCCAACCTCTCACCTGCAATTTGCCTCAGCTCCTCCCTGCTCAGCTCTCCAGACCCAGACTCGTCATCCTCACTCTTACACATCTTCACAATCCGATGGGCTTCCAGGTAAGTTTCCGAAAGTAAACCCTTGAACAGAGTAAGTCCAAAATATGAATGGCCTCTTTCTATCCACATGATTCCTTCAAAGAATCCTGACAAAACCCTTTGTTCTATTTTGTTTTACTGTTAATAGTTTTCTCTCCAAGTATGGTGGGTGAATGAGCAAAGAGGAAAAGAGACTATTTCCTGATTTCAAACTCTCTTACCTGTACCACCTGTCGAAACTCAGAACGCAAGATTGGCAAGAAGATACCAGTGACACTGATGTGGTCCCCAGGCTGGGCAATCCGTGTGTTCTCACCTTCTACCAACACCGTGATGCTACGAGGAATATTTCCCACAGGCACTTGGTCACTCTGTGGAGGGTAAAGAAAAAGAACATAAGGCCCCGCCAGGATCTAAGCTCCTCCCTAGGAACTCCACTTTCCTACATCTTGGCCTGACCAGCTTCAGACAAGCCAATTAGAGGACAGAAGCAGAAATCTCCTTTACCTTTTCCCAGCTCAATCAAAGATCCAGTTAAACCTCCCTCCTGCTCTAGATGTTTTCTCTGCCTCAGCTCTCCCTTCTTTTGTCCTCTCTCTTTCTTCCATTCCATGAGTGACTGCAGTATTCAAAATGACTCCCAAGTCCCACCTTTCCTGGGCAACATACCCCAAAAACTCACATGTTCTTGCATCTTCATCTCCTGGAATTTGATGAACTTGGAGCCGCGTGTCTGCAGATACAGCCGACCTCCTGAGCGGTTGGTCTGGCACTCTTGGCTCGGGCACATGATCAGAGGCATGAAAGTAGGAGAATTGATCTAGGATGTAACATCAAATGAGACCACAAGAAAATGATCCATTTAGATCAGTCACCTGAATCTCATTTCATCTTCATGGATGTCAAAAACATCCTGAACTACTCTGGGAAAACTGACAGGCACAAAAAACACAAATGGAAAGACCACCATGTACCCCCCCCCAAAAACAATGAAAGACAAATAAAACCAGGTGTGTTTTACAATAAACTTTACAGATAAACATCAACAGACATTCAAGAACATTCTTACAAAAACCACTAACAAAGTTAACTGCTTCTGTTCCTTACTTCATACATACCGGCTGGTAGGTCTCTGCCCCACACTGGTCACAAGTATAAGTGGCCACCACCATTCTGGGTTTGACTTCAGAAACACGAGTGACAATTCCACGCACAGTTACCAATTTCCCCACAGAGTCGGCCCGTACTTCCCGGATCACACGAGGCTTATTACTGCTTGGGCCTTGAAAGTACAGCTCACTAAGGGAGAAAACCATCATTAGCAAGGTTCTGGAGAACCAATTCCCATTCCCTACCCTAGTGAGACCACTCACAATCTACGCATGAGTTCAGGAGGGTACTGGTTCTGGGGGCTTCGGGCTGCCCCAGGGTCTCGGCTCCGCTGCTCCATCATCAGTCGGTGCTCAATGTAAACATCCAGCACATCTTTATTTACCACCTACAGGCAGTGTGGGGCATAAAAAACACCAGGCAGAAATCACTGCTCCCTTCTTCTGGCACCTCAGAAAATATTAATATCCGAGAAGCTTTCTGACAGAAATCTAAGTTCCTTGCCTTGCATTTTCTTGCACTCACCTCCCTCTCCTTGTACTGAGGCAGCAGCTCTTGAACAGAATCAGCAAAGAGCCTTGCATAGCGCTTGGTGTTCTCACAAATTGAATCCACCAATTCAGGGTCCTCCTCAGCCACATCATCTAGGTCTATGTACATTGCCACTTGTTCCCGGTGAGCCAGCTGAACCTGGGGTAAGGAACAGCCAAGAAGACCTCAGAGCCAAGTAGACTATGCTCAGCACTATTTACATGCACGGACCCAGCATTGTGAGCTCAAGACACAGATTTCAGGCCTCCAGAGGGAAGAAAGACTAGTGTGAGCGCAATACTTGCTTCTTAGCCTCCGAAAAAGTCTTTCAACTTCTAAAAACCTTAATCATCATAAATATAGTATCATAGTCAGATACCACACTAAATGTGTGTCACTTACAGGCCACCTATTACTGCTCCTGCAGGCCCCCCATTCCCTCTAATCTAAGACTTACCAATTGGTTCCCATACTTGAACTGCTTCTTGCCAAACTCATCATCCTGGTAAAACTCTTGCAGGAATTTCTTCACCTTTTCTATAATGTAAATATAAGGTCATGAGGATCAACACTTTCTTTCAGATATCTTACTGCAAACTCCTTCCACAGAAATCAAAGAAGCTCACTTACATTTAAGTGAATTAGTTACACGAACATTTAAATCACCCCATATAACGCTCCCCAAACTCAGCAGAACTCCTTTTACAAGTCTGTTTTAATCTAGAAAGGCATTAGGGGAACCTCGAAGTTGAGAGTATTAGCCAATACCCTCCCCTCTAGGGGAATTCCAGCCTCTGCCTTCGTTAGGAATCTCAATATTCCTTCCCAAAAGCCTCCCACTCCCAACAGCAAACTCAAGCCCCAAGGTCCTCATCTTTTCTTCTGTAAGTAAAACTACCCCTTCTCTCTCGGTCCCCTAAATCTCGCCCACTAATCGCATCCTCCACCCCACCCCCTCTCCCGCCACTGCTTCCGCTCTTAGTAAACAAAGAAGCACATGGGCCCAGATGCCGCCGCCTCACAGCCTGGGATTCCTCCGCCTAGGGCGGGAGCCGGTCCAGCGATCGGCCGGCTGGTCCAGAGGCCACTCCGTGTCCCTCCCCCAACCTCTCCATACTTCCTTTCGGACCCGCGCTAAAACCCTCAATTCCAGGCACGCCCCTACCCTCAGGAGCTCTCTCCGAGTCTACCGCGCGGAAGGACACTGTTTACACACGACAATCTACCCGAGGCGTCGCGCAACTTCCGCCCGCCTCCACTTCCGCTTGTAGGTTGGCCTAAAATGGCCAATCCCTGCGCGCAGCAGCCCGAGCCAGCCCTCCCCCGAGGTTTCGGCAGCTCCGGAGGACGCGGGCACTTGGAATGTCTGAGATCGTGGATGGTATCGGGGTTGGGAGTACCCGACCCTACATCGTAGACAGAGTCCCAAGATGCCGATCCCTGCTAGGTGTGCCCTCTTCCACTCGAGCTCACAGCCTATCCCATCGCGACGACCCCCACTCCTTTCTAGGACACGATCACCAGCTCTTCTCCGACCTCGTGTCCCTGCGCACTTCCTAGGAGCCGTCTGCCTCCGGACCCGGGCTCCGACCTCGCGCACAGAACCCGGCCTGCAGGATCCCAGCTCACTCCATTAGATGTTGGCCAAGAGATTTCCCGCGCAGGACGCCCCTCCTAGGCTTGCAGACCCTCACCTTTTTCCAATGCGTAGTCTTTAAGTGTCATTGCTGCTGAGAACCGTGCGACAGCAGCTGGCGGTCTCCACGTTCTCACTCCCCGGTAGCAGCAACCGTCCGCGCGGTGGACTACGGCAGACCAACCGAAATTGGCGCGAAACGTCGCCCAACACGTGACCGGCGCCGCTGCGTGCGGACCAATCCAAAAAGAGACTCTCAGTCCCTCCCTCTGGCCGCGGGTTCCAGCCTCGGCCAATCACACCGCGCCTGGGCTGAGTGACGGGATTGGGCGAGGCTAGGCAGGCGCCGGGTTTCCCGCGTACGAGGAGAATCGCTCTTAAAGAACCTACCCGAACGCGTCCTTTTGTTCCGGGCCGCTGGGCGGGGCATGCCCAACTTTTGTCTCCTAGACTATTCCGCAGAACGGCCATGATTTCCCAGTTCTTCATTCTGTCCTCCAAGGGGGACCCACTCATCTACAAGGACTGTATCCTTGACTCATGGGTTCAGGAGGGACGGGCTGGGCGGGAGTAGTGTCCCAGAGCCAGCCTGGGTTGCCAGCTCCTTAGCTGTCCTTCAACCCGTCAGTCCGCGGTGACAGTGGCGGCCGGGATGTGGCCGAGCTGTTTTACCGGAAGCTGACAGGATTGCCCGGAGAAGAGTCACCGGTTGTCATGGTAACACCAGGGTTTAGGGGTAGTACTCAAGGAAGGCGGGTAAGAGGGTCGCCTCCTCCCTCTAAGGGATGCGTCCTTGAGAGCTTCCCCTTGGAGCGGGTACATTCCTCCAATTAGTATTGAGGCAAGTTTACTGAACGCTGAGGATATAGCACAGCTCGCACATCTCGATCCTCAGCACCTCTGGGGTAGGTATTACTATTGACTACACTTAAACTTTGGGCGCCTGAGCCCTGTAGAGGTTTCTAGTTCACTCTAAGTCGTACTGTTAGGAACGAGGGGGAATCAGGATACCAGCCCAAGTCTCCTGGGACCTTAACCAGAACTCTCTTCTTGACACTTTCTCTTCTCCTTCTTCTACGTTTGCCTCAGCACCACGATGACCGTCATTTCATTCACATCAGACACAGTGGTCTCTACTTGGTGGCCACGACTTCAGAAAACATTTCTCCCTTCAGCCTCCTAGAGCTGCTCTCTCGGTGAGAAGGGCAGGGCTGGGCAGCTGGGTGTGGGGGTCTGAGAAGAGGAAGAGATTCACAGCCTGTTCTTTTTTCTTAGGTTAGCCACTCTCTTAGGCGATTACTGTGGCTCCCTGGGTGAGGGGACTATCTCTCGCAATGTGGCTCTTGTCTATGAACTCCTGGACGAAGTATTGGTGAGGCTAAACGGTTTCCCTCATTGTTCCTGTTCCCTGAAGGTTTATTCTTTGATTGGAAGGCTGAGTCCACTCCTTTTCACCTCTCCTTTACTGGCCACCCAAAGACTGTCCTTCCCCCATCCCTAGGATTATGGCTACATACAGACTACATCCACAGAGATGCTGAGGAACTTCATCCAGACTGAGGCTGTGGTCAGCAAGCCCTTCAGCCTCTTTGATCTCAGCAGTGTTGGCTTGGTCAGTGGAGGGAAAGAGGACCAGGGGTCGGGGGAGTGGGGGTGTGGGGGATAAGGGTTGGCAGAAGTATTAGACCTTGAGGACTGATTACTTTCTGTGCTTTCTAGTTCGGGGCTGAGACACAACAGAGCAAAGTGGCCCCCAGCAGTGCAGCCAGCCGCCCAGTTCTCTCCAGCCGTTCTGACCAGGTGAGGGAGAGCTAAACAGGTTTAGACCCTCTGATTTTTTTGAGGGGACTCCAGAATCCAGGATCCCTGCATATCTTTCTGTCTCTCCTAGATTTGGATAATCTAATCCCTTCCCTTACCTGTGTCCCCACCCCAGGGCCCTAGTCTCCACTGCTTTGTCCACTTTAGAATACAGGCTGTTTAGCCTGCAACCATCCAAATTCTCTCTTTCTCAGAGCCAAAAAAATGAAGTGTTTTTGGATGTGGTTGAGAGACTGTCTGTACTGATAGCATCTAATGTAAGTTTGGGTCCCCAGTCCTGGAGCTGAGGGTAGATAGTATCTGGGAAACATGTTGGGAGGTCACCTCTGGGCATTAACCTCCCTGCCACTCTCAGGGCTCACTGCTGAAGGTGGATGTGCAGGGAGAGATCCGACTCAAGAGCTTTCTTCCCAGTGGCTCTGGTGAGAAGTCTGTGGGTTGGACCCACAGTTGAGTTTGGGACAGGCTCCTTGGTGGTGTGTATGGTGTATTTGTTGGCCTTTTCTGATGTCCTTTTCTTTGACAGAGATGCGCATCGGTTTGACAGAAGAATTTTGTGTGGGAAAGTCAGAACTGAGAGGTGAGGTGCAAGTGGGTCTTTCTCTCCTACATTCAGGCCACTACCAGAGGTTTCGTGGAAATTAGATACAGATCCCCACCCCACCCCTGCTCTTCTCTCCCAAATATGGATCAGTAGAGGAATCTTTCTCTCTTTCTAGGTTATGGGCCAGGAATTCGGGTGGATGAGGTCTCATTTCATAGCTCAGTGTATCTGGACGAGTTTGAGTCTCATCGAATACTCCGCTTGCAGCCACCTCAGGGCGAGGTCAGAATGGATTGGCCTAGTTTATTCCATCTACCCAAGGGAAGGGAAGCAGTTCAGGTGTGAGGGGACCAAACTGACGTCCATTCCTCCCTCATGTCAGCTGACTGTGATGCGGTACCAACTCTCAGATGACCTCCCCTCCCCGCTCCCCTTCCGGCTTTTTCCCTCTGTGCAGTGGGACCGAAGCACAGGCAGGTCAGACCATTTTCCTTATTCTACAATTTCTCTGGAACCCAAACCAATAGATATATGTTCCCAAGGCTTATTGTAAAGGATGGTAGTTAGTAGTATAGAGTACAAATTAGAAAAAGGCACCCTCCTCTCAAGTGGACTCAGCCCCATGAACACTAATGACTAGTGCATTTGGGTAGATTTCAGCTCTTCTCTCTTTTCTTCAGCACATACATGGGGGCCTTCCGTGGGAAATGGTGAAATGGCAGTGGGTTATGGCCAGAGTAACGGTATTGTACCTTTTCACCCAGGCTCCAGATTTACCTGAAGTTACGATGTGACCTGCCGCCAAAGAGGTATGAGTTGGGTAGTTGAGACTAGTTCAGCTATGGGTAGTGGGAGACAGGGCCCAGATACCTATTGCTTCTGCCTTCAGATACAGCCACCAGCCTTAGAATCAGCTTAGGTAGAGGCTTGAGAGTTTGGGAATGGGATTGGGTGGCACTTGTGCTGAATTCCAGCTGTGATATTAGTGAAGAATGGGGACAAACTACTACCTTTCTGAGGCTGACTTTGTTCCTTTTGTGTTTGCAGCCAGGCTCTCAACATCAGGCTGCACCTTCCCTTGCCAAGAGGGGTGGTCAGGTTAGTGTTTGTGCATTGTGGGGTGTTGGGTGGTTTTACTGGCTTCCCTGGACAACACATGACACTGGGGAGGAGAGTATGCACTGTGGGGGTGGAACCGGGCTGCTCCTGAGGCAGCTGAGCCTAGCACCTTTCCAAACTCCAGCCTGTCTCAGGAGCTGAGTAGCCCAGAGCAGAAGGCAGAGCTGGGGGATGGAGCACTTCGCTGGGACCTGCCTCGGGTACAAGGAGGCTCCCAACTCTCAGGCCTTTTCCAGGTATCAGCTACTGATTCTCTAAGGCCCTCTTCTCCCACCTCCATTTTTAGCCCCCAGACTCATCCTTCCTAGTGTAGTTGTTGCATTGTTCCTGCCCATTTGGTCACCTTCCTGGCCCTTTGTCTTCCCTACCCATCTTTCTCTCTGTGCCTTCAGCACCCCTCCTTCTACCTTTGTCCCTCACAGATCGAAGTCCCAGGTCTGCCTGGGCCTCCTGGTCAAGGGCAGTCCACCTCAGCACCTCCTCTGGGGCTGGGCCCTGCAAGCCTCTCTTTTGAACTTCCCCGGCACACGTGCTCTGGTCTCCAGGTTCGCTTCCTCAGGCTGGCATTCACACCTTGCAGCAGCACCAACCCCCACAAGTGGGTGCGACACCTAAGCCACAGTGATGCTTATGTCATTCGAATCTGAGGCTCCCCAAACAAGGACATGGGCAGCAAAGGCAGTGGCCTGTGGCCATGGGTCTGGCTGGAAGAATCCCAAGTCCTAGGGACCATGAGGACTCAACAGGTTAGACCCTCCTATGGTACTGGACACAGGAAGGACTGAGATGAATTGGAA